GGGATCTGGCCCGTGCGGTTGGAAGCCAGCGGCTTTCCGTTTTTTTTAAATAACTTAGGGGGGGGGGGGGTCCAACTGGGTCCACTCGGCACGACGGCCACTGATTGGCCTATTAATTATGATGATGGAGAATTTGGTGGAATGAAGATTGGCAGAGGAAACCGAAGTACTTGGAGAAAACCCCCACCAGCACCACTTTGTCCACCACAAATCACACTTGACCAGACCCGGTCTACGCCATAGTTAGTGATAACGTTGCTAAATAAGCTAAGAATGAATTAATAAATTCCTCGAGCCAAATTTCGGAGTGGTAACTGATCCCGGATGCTTTCCACGTTCGTCCCAATCCATTAGTTATGGCCGTCCGTTTGTCGGAAGAGGCTACGTGATTTGGGCTAGACACTGGTTTATTTTACAAAAAAATCCAAGTAAACCTAATGACATTCTGAATTGTGTCACTTGTGATTCCGATGGACGTTTTAATTCGGATGACTCCATTCCATTGCTCGTCACCCGTAAACAGGATTTTAATTATGTGTCTGTTGGTAGAAATGTGGTCCGAAATTCTTTGATTTTTTTCGACCCGTAACACACTATGGTGGACCGAAGTGGCAACTGTAGCCTTGAATTCTAAATTGTTTCATATTTTCTATTCAGCGCAGACTCTTCAAAACTTGAGGGGTGACTGGAGGTACTGACCTTTCGTCCAATGATATTTGTATTTATAATCGAGTACCACAAAAGTCTTCCCAAACCACAGTTGGAATAAATAGATTCTAAAGGGACCTGACGATGGTGCGCACTGTTGGAATCTTCATCATTAGTTTCATTTAACGAGGTACCAAACTTACTGTATGCTCTTCGGTCGGAGCGTAAGGGTGACAACCTTACTGCCATCTAAGAGCCAATTGTCTAGAAAATGTGGGAACCTCAACATCTCACAACCCTATGGGCCTCCACGGCCTGTTACGGGGATACCTTTACTTACTTTATTTTTACTGTATGCTCTTCAGAAAATGAATTAGGTCTTTCGAAAATCCTGTTTAAATGTAGGAATGTTCTGCACGCATAAAATACTGAACACTCCGATAATACCTAGGCCCATACAGTTAACAGAGGCAGCCACAAAACGGCCTCTTATATGAGAACAGACTAGCATCGACTTGGTTTCTGGGACCGATTTGTCCTCTAGCGTTTGCAGATGAGAGGCTGTAACATTTTTTCGTTAAGAAGCAACCCTGAAGTTATGGATCTTTAGAAACTTGGGATTGGTCCATCTTAAGACTTAAATCAGGGCAATGCAATGAAGAATCCCGCTTCGAGCGGGATCCGAACTCGCGGTCATTGTGTCGCAGGCTGTTATGTGTTGTGTAGTTGTTTTAAATGCATGGGTTAGGCTAATCGACGTAAACGGTATGCGATTTTTCATATGGCCGAGACGCGGTAATCGATGTAATGTGTTCGGTTGTAAAAATGTAAACGTATCAAGCTCGACGCCATTAAGACGTATGGGTAAATGGAGGTATAGCTGCGCCATTAACCTCGGAGGTAGATGGAGGTGGTCAGCTTGACACCCCTTCCGCTTTACCTCCGGGGGAAATAACCCTTGATAGGAGGCTGGGTGGACCCCAGAACCAGCCTGGAAAAGAAAAATCTCTTGCCTCTGCCGGGAACCGAACCCCGACTTATCGGCCGTCCTGCCCGTAGCCTCTTCTGTATACCGACTGAGCCATCGCCGCTTACTCTTCGGTTGTTTCAGATGAAAGAGTCTCGCTACTCGTGAACGCAAGATATTCTTTAATACATTTAAATCTCTCAGTTTATGTAGGCGAATGGTTTGGAAAAAAAGTATTAACCTAAAATACTGTTGTGCCCATACGTATAAACCACTTTGCCCACGTAGCGTCGCTGTGGAGTTCCAGGAAATTAACCTTGCCCGCTGAACCACGTGACCCCGCCAATTCAACCAATCGCAGAGTTTTGTCATCACTTTTCCTCATTCTCCTTCTCGGTTCTACTGAAGGTCACGCTAGCAAAAATAAAGCCATCCGATAACCGCATGCAAACTTCACCGTGTTGACGTCACCCGTTGTCATAGCAATGGCAAATGCATGGTTCTGGTTGGTGCAACATGTGAGCGGGGAAGCCCCGCTTTGAAATGTGCTTTCTGGCAAAGCTCAGAAGTGTTATCATAATAATCACAATGTATGGGATCCGGGGATTGACCACGAAGTTTGAGTCACTCTCTGTCGAATAATGGTGGGGCTAAAGGTGTCGGAGGTGTTGAGGCATTAGGTTTAATAAACATTGAGTAATGGCTGAATAGTTTTCGTTGCGACTGACATGTTACAGATTTTGACACTACGTGTTTTGACGTCAAGTTCGTTGTGTCTGTAAAACATTTTTTCCCTTCACACATTTTCATTGCTGCCTGTAGGAAGTTATTGTTGACAGGTAAGAAATTTGAATCGGTTCTTTTTTATAGTTGTATGCTGTTATGAATAATAGTGGTAGGTGAATGTGCAATGGTGATGTCAGAGAGAGTGCTGTGACTTAACATAGAAGTAGGCGTGGTGAATGAAACGTTTGTCGAAAGTAGTAATTCCCGTAGAAAGGAAATTTGACTGATCACGTGGTATCAGTCACTATACATAATCGGGTTGGGGCTTGTTATTACAGGAGATGGATAATGACCAGTTTTATTCTGTGTTTCGATGTAGTATATGCAGTCACGTTATCATCCAGTGAATGTGTTTACAGGATAGATATATTTTTGCCTGAATTGTACCAAGTAAGAAAAAGTAGTGCTAATAATAGGATATATTGAAAGCATCAGTACATATGTTAGTAAAGGTAAAGTTATCCCTGATATTGATTAATTAAAACACCATGCTGTGAAGATGTATGAGGGAGTGGCGGTATATCTCCATTCTTGACCCATGCACTAGATGGAGATGAGTGGTGAGCTGCACGCCCAGGCCGTTTTATCCCCGGGGAAAGCCCTGCAGTATGTGTTACATAGGAGGCACAGTCACCCGAGGGCTGGTCTAGCTGCTGTGGAGAAGAGAAATATCTTATCCCTGCCGGGTATCGAACCCTGATTCCAGGTTGCCAGTTCCATACTGTAATCACAATGTTGACTGAGTTATCCCATCTTCAAGGTGGTGTTAGTACTTTATATGTGTTAACACTTTGTTAATGGCATATGCATGAAAAATATTTATCTTTACCAAAATTTATTACAATTTTAACTGGCCTTTGTTGGGGTACATACACCCCCCCATCCCCCAAATTGATCTGGATCAGGCTCAGGCTCAGGGACCAGTGATGGGCCATTGTGCACATGGTACTGAACCTTTAGATTCAGTGGAATGCTGAGACCTTCATGAGTGGCTGAGCAACTCTTGGTTTCACAAGAAGTGCTAACCTGAATGGAGTTCTGTGTGTTTCCAGATGCTCACGGATTCATTTTGGTCTTCCCAGCTGTATATTACAGTTTATTGTGGGATCAACTTTGTAGTACAGTTAACCATATGCACTTGCAACATTATTAGTTACTAGACCAAACATAAACTGCCACTGAAGCTCTTTTGTATTTTCCCATGCTAGCTCCATTTGTAGATTGATGGCACACATTGGATGACTTGAGAGTTTGATTCCTTGCAGAGATTTTCCTCTTTGTTAAGAATTTGATTCCTGGTAAAGATTTTCTTCTTTGTTGCCATGCCCAGACTTGCTTCGAGAGACACCCATCCTTCTGTCTGATAGATAGGTACTGGGGCTGTTTCTCCAGGGCTAAAGTGGCCGGAGCATGTAAATTACCATTTACCATGATATGGTGCTAAGGTGCGTGGAGCTTTGCTACCACTTGGATGCGTCTTCACAGTGTGCATGAACACATGGGCAACTTCAGCTTGCAGTAGCCCTGACTGATACAAATCTTGCAGTAAGATTGATGAATAAGTTGATATGGTGTGCCACAAACAAACAGTAGAGTTATTTTTAGATGATAAATTAGAGGACTGGAGATTGTCTGAGGTGTGAAGGTCTGTGACAGAGGTGTGGCTTGGGATAGAAACTAATTCCATGTAATGGATCCTACAGAGTTGGTTTCATATTTTTACCTGATGATGAAAGCAGAATTAGCTTCTGAAACTTGTTTTTTTTTTTCTTTTCTTTTTAACAAAAAAGCAAGGGAAGTGGCTAGCATATTTGTCGCTTAAATGATATTGTCTGATAATTAAAATTGGATAGCTTTTCTGAGGTGATTTTTTTTTAATCTGTTGGAAACGTCTACATAATGGGATGAAATTTATGAATGTGATTATCATAAAGCGTAGCCCACGTAGACTGAATACAGGAGGGTTTTTCAATTTTACAGACAGAATTGAAACCACTCTTAGTCACCAAATTCATATTAAGGTTGCCAGCCAATTCTTATTAACAAGACATCAAGACTAGTTAGTCCACTTGTAAGTAGTAGTGAGATATACTGGGATGGAACCAGTGGAAGTCACTGATTGTAAGAAATTCAAGATATCTGTATTCATTTATAAACCATAGCCCCCCCCCCAGAACATGGCTGCATAGGATAGTTTTTAAATTTTACAGACCAGAACTGAAACCAGTCTTAGCCTCCTAATTTATTTAATAGTCACTGAATTCATATTCAGCGTGCTAAACAGTCTGACAAGTTAGTCCACTTGTGAGTAGTGGTGAAGTAAGATACCAGGATGAAACCACAGGAAGTCAGATGATTGTCAGAAATTCAAGAGACTCCATATTCATATTGTGAACCATGCAAAAGAAACCTGTATGTGTGTTTGATATTCAGCTGAATTAATTTATTTTAATGTGACTACTGGGATATGATGCCATATGGTCTGGTAACCTCTTTTACCTTGAAGGGAGTAAACATCAACGGGCATATGTGGTGTCGCATCCAGGAGACAGTAGAGAGTAGACAGTAATTTTCATTAGTCACTGCGGTGAGAATCTCTAATCTCACATGAATTGTTGCATACTTTGCTTTATACCATATGTAGGAGCTGGGGTAGCATGATCAAGTCTAGTGACAGGCTGCAGACTGGATGACAGATGATTTGGAGTTAGATTCCTATCAGTGACAAACTTGGCTCCTGGGTCTAATGAGTATTAGGGGCTCTGTAATTTTAATGTCACTAGGGAATGGAACTGACCACTCATGTCTGTTTAATGCTATGGTTAATATGTAATCTATCCTTCTAGTCATGGGCAGGGAAAGTTAAGTTATTATAGTGACAGGCTAGAGGCTGGACAGGAGGAGTTTGATGCAGAGGTCAATGATAGAGCTATATTGCTACTCTCCCATACGAGCAACTTTACCTTTATACTTCAGTAATAAGACTGGAAATTAAAATTATGGAAACTATTTCATTCAAGTACCCCAGTTAGAAAGATACATACTTGTTGCACACATGCTGTCTTCGAACCGGCAGAGTTACTATTACTGTACAATACATATAAAAGAGTAAATCTGATTTGTTTCACCTGTTTTCAGATACTATGCCTTTAGGAAGTGTCCTGCAGTTCCCCTTGCTGAGTCTAAATGAGTTCGATGAACCATATGTAAGTATGCAGACATGAGATTTGTCACTTCATTTGCTAAGATAGAGGCAGTCAAGTTCCTCAGAATACAAAATATGGTGCCATAATGCAGAAACTGCAATCCATTCTTCACCACTGTGGAAAACTCCAGAGCTCATAAAAATTATGAGTATTTACATTCAGTGAAATTTTTGTTTCATTTTACTCAGCCTCTAACAGAAATGAGTACCAGGAATTAAGTAAATAATTTTCCTGAGGAGTAAAGCACAGCCGGCACGTAAGGCTGACAACCTTACCGCCATCTTTGAGCTGATTGTCTAGAAAGCGTGGGACCCTCAACGTCTCACAACCCTATGGGCCTTCGCGGCCTGGTACAGGGATAGCTTTACTTTACTTTTACTCTGTGGCTATAGTCCGCAAGTGAACTATACCGACCGAGCATTTATGTAACATATTTAATTTAAAATAATTGCATCTTCATTGAGTACTTCACTTGCAGAGTTGAAGGTAGTAGATACCTTATCTTATTCTCATTTGTTCCACCACATCTGCCAGTGCTGGAAACACTAGTTAGTGTTTTTAATTGTGTATAAGAGAATATTATTTAACCTAGTGGTATGAAGTACTGTTCTGTTCCTTTGAAAGCCATGTTCATGCCTCAGTTCTGAGACACTTGATTTTATTATGCATTTACATGACATATACATGAGATATTAAATTCAGATACTTTTAGGTTACAGTGAATATGGGGCAATTCGCAGACTAGATTTTAAAGGGTTCTGATGGTGGCGTATAACACAGAATTTTCTAGTATACCAGACAATGGAAAAAGTCCAAAAACCGATTACTTCTGTGTGTCAATTTGAAGAGTGTTTACAGAACTGGTAAAATTGTATGTGCAAGTGTTGTACATGTTGTTATTGTCTTTGATGGCCTAAAATGCACATGTTTTTCTCCAGGCATCTGAGAAAATTGACTATACCTTACACTTATGTACATTCAATATGGTTTCCACTAGAAGCTGCCGCCAAAGTGTGATGTAATTGTACTTGCCTGAGCTACAGAGTCGTTTGTCTAATGAAACTTTGATTATGTTGCTGAGTGCAAGAATTCTACTATGATAGATTATTAAGCAGGGTACAAATGCAGTCTGCAACACTTCAACTGCTGTTGGTGCTACTAGTGATATTTTCTTAAGTAAGGTAAACGGTATCCCTTGGGTAAGAGGCTGGGTGGGCCCCAAAGCTGGTCTGGACTACATGGAGAAGAGAAAATTATTGACCCTACTGGGACTTGAACTCTGACCCCTCATTTGTGTATTCCATAGCCAGTTGCTATACTGAATGTGCTGTCCCAGCTCCTCGTAAGTAAGGTATTGATTTTAAAAATACTGTGCCTAAAGGCTTTGGGCGTGTCATTAGGTAGTTATTTAGATTGTAATATCATCATTTTAAAGTTACCATATTAGTAGTTATCAACATAAATGGTGACCTAAACCCCCTTGCCAGAGATCTCCTTAAACCCGCAGGGCTTTCCTACTGTAAGAGCACCTACTCAAGATGGTATATTGTCAAAGAAAGCACAGCACATATTATACTGGTGATGCATATGTTTCTTCTATTGGATATATCCGTTTTGAAACCTAGGAAGGACTGCTTATCCTAAGGTCTCATGTGATTTTTCCTCATTTGCTTCAAGTGAGTACTGTGTTCGATATTGGCACCAGTGGTTTCGTCCACATTCATTGTTCATGGTTGATGTGCTGTATTTCATTGACCACTACTACACCTCAGCAATTGAAACAGCATTACAATATCAGCAAACATGTAAAAATGATTGTTGTTCATAGGGTGATTATGATTGTTATTCTTACAGCCTGTACGGGAAGATTCCAGTAATTATATGGCATACAATTGGACGGGAGACGAAACAAATTCCTGGGAAAACAGCGAGAGCTGTGAGCATTTTGTACCCTCCACAGCTCTTCACAAGACATTATCCTTTCAGTTTCTACCAAGTAAGTTTAACTGGTCAGGCATATGGACAACAGTAATCATAAATATTTAAATTTAAACTTGAATTTTCTGCAGTTGTTTTAGTTAGTACCATTTACAGGTTGGGCATAGACTACTGTTATAAGCCAAATAATGGAACACGGCTGTCATTAGTAGATCTTGAGTTTTAAAATGTTTATTAATCAAAATAACTTACTTATGCTTGTTACATTATAAGGAAGAAAATGATCGTAGCTTAAGAGCTATCAAAAAGAGAAAAGCTTTATGGTATATGAATGAGCATTCATGTTGGAAGTGTTTGAAAAGGAAACTGAATTCTGCCCATAATTTTAGTTTCTCATTCAGTGGTCGTAAAAAAAAAAATAAAAGCTATCCCCTGAAGGCCCATAGGGTTGTGAGATGTTGAGGCTCCCACATTATCTAGACGATTGGTTCAAAGATGGCGGTAAGGTTGTCAGCCTTACGCGCCGGCTGCGTTTTACTCCCCAGGAAAATTATTTAATTAATTCCTGGTACTCATTTCTGTTAGAGGCTGAGTAAACCCCAGGGCCTAGTGTGGCTGGAAGGATTAGGTCAGCTGAAAAAAAATCCAACGACCTCATCAGGACTTGAACCTGCGACCTTCTGGCTTGTAGCATAGCCCCTCAACCAACTACGCTACCGCGTACCCCCAGTGGTCGTAATATTGCTTTTATTTTATTCTTTGGGCATTAAGAATGGAGATTTATTTATGTATGTATTAATCTTTTATTAAAATGCTTTTTGTATAGTTTTAATAATTTATATCATGTGAACTGTTACTTTGATGGTGGTCTGTGAACAGTTTCATTATGTTCAAATAACTTAGAGGTTTGACATCATAGCATCCGTAAGTAAATATACATAATTTCTCCAGAAACTATTAAATTGGAAGTTGCAGATTTATATTAGTTTAACAAAAATTGTCCTGGAATTTAAACTTAAAATTATAATGACTGCAGTTAGATGCTGAACTCAGTTTGTAAGAGATAACATAGATTGAAATTCTTTCCAGCAGCAAGTGATAACTATTGGTCTGTGGATTAGCAAATACTGATGTTTATATTAGGGATCTAGCAACACAGATTCAGCATATTGCTGTAGTGCATAGTTTCAGCTGGTTATTAGGAGGAAAGAAATATAAGCATGGCAATGACAGCAGTGTAGTCAAGAGAAAAGTAATATGCAGTGTGAACTGGATTGTATTGAAGAATTAAAAAAAACAATTAAAAAGAAGTAGTACTTGCCCTTAAGTACAGTAATTTGTAATACGAATAAGTGTTTGCAACTAAATCAAGTTTGTTACCTGGGTAGTTTGAAGACCTATTAATAAGTATAAAAGATAAAACAACTCCGTCCAGTGTGACTGTTGAAGTTTTTACTGCTTCAATTCTTAACACCCCTACATGTTTCGGTTCCTATAGACCATCATCAGAGGGACGTCAGTACTCTTTAGAAACCACTGTTACAATGGGTCTTCTGAATGTTAAAATATATACACATACAATGTTTGTAACGCACAATATATACAAAATCCAAAGTTTTCACAACTACAGCGGTTGTCTTGGTATATTAAAGTTTTTTAAAACTTCTCTTATTTAAGTTAAAATTTATAAACCAAATAGGTTCTTGTCCCTTCTCTCATCGCCTTTCTTGACGGGGGCCAAACTTGTGTCGCCTGTCTTTCTTGAGAAGGAGCTTTATTGATATTGTCCTGGGTTTGTTCATCCTAAAAGGCAGGTATTTTCAACCAAAAGGTTATTGAACATGTTTCTACTCTAAAGAGTGTTAATATTGCATAGCTGGTGCTGTTCGTTATTCTTTGAAGATGTTTTTATATTTCAGGTGATTTTATAAATGCAGAATGGAAAACGAAGACCGTGAAACAGTGGGAGTCAAATGACATCATGTGCTGGATAATTTCAGTTGCAGATGAAAATGACCTGCACTCTGAAGAGATTTGTATTTCACAGTTCAATGATATAGATGGAACAACTCTGTGCAACCTGTCCGAAGCAGATTTTATGTCCCGAGAACCACGGTATGGGAAACTTCTTTTCAGTAGTTTGCAACAGCAGTTGAAACAGGAACAGGAGCAGCAGATGGGTAATATAAACAAATGTAAGTTTTTTTTTGTACAGACTATGTTAAACAAAAGTGTAAGATGTACATATCTCCAAACTATGCAATTGAGTTATCTGATACAGCATGGGAGTGAGCAATATACCCCAAAAGTTGAGATTTGAGGTTCATACAATGATGACCATAGAGGATATTATTCTCTGGAATTTGTTGCCATAAAGTGTAACAGAAGGTTACAGATGTTTTGCAGGAATGTGCTACATTATCAGGTTCGGCAAGTAATAGATGGCAGGCAGTGATACAGGCAGTATGTTTCTCTGAAATTATTGTGATCTTTCACCAGATTACATGATACCACATACCAGGAGACTGTACTCTTTACACTAAAAGTTACTTAACCAAATTTTCTTAGTCACTGTTGAACCAGTGTACACCCGTTCTGCTTGAAGTTTTTGTATAACTTTATCAAATTTTCAAAAACAGCATACTTTATATAAAAGTAAGGTAAAGTTGGCCCTGTGTTTACCTAATTAAGCACTACACCATGAAGGTGTATGGGGGAGTGGATGTATAGATCCATATTCTCTTGATCTTGGCACTGGTTTGAAGTGAGTATATAAAGACATAACTAATATAAAAATGTAGAGCTTAAGAGCCAGCAGCTGTTACTTGGAAGTTCTTTTTTTATATGGTGAATATTTAATGTAATACAATGAGAAGTAATGGGATAAATTTAGTGAGAAGTCAAAAATATTAAATTTTGTGTGAACTGTATAACATTTCAAGTTCTCACCGTGATGAGTATGGAGATAACTGTCTTCTATGTTGCAACACAATGTAATGTGGTAGAAAGTCACCAGTGTTTTGAAGGAACCTACTGCATCCATCATTATGTTAGAACCACGTTGCTTCTGCTGGTAACTTGTACCAGACTACATAGTGCCACATCTCAGAAGACTGATTTTTATCTCCTTCTGAACTATTTGGCAGGAACTGCTGTTGCATAACGTGCAGACCCCCCCCTACCTTTCCAGAGCCAACAGATACATGCTCACATACACTTTCTGCCTCCACCAGTGTATCCCTGTTCTCTTATAATGAATTATTTTGCTTATTTTATTGCTTTTAGTGCCTCCAGTTTCCACAATTAAGCCCGAGGATGGAGTCTATTGTCCATTTCTCTTGAATCTGAACCCAGCAAGCACACGCACCAGTGAAAGTCACCAATCCTCAGGTACAACTACATAATTATTGTACTAGGGAACTATTTGATAATTAGTTTAGGACTGATGAGTCATCTGTAGCAGAACTACTAATAATAAAACCATCAATTGAACATGTTCCTGAAGTACAGCTATTCATTTTCTGTCTTCATAACTTTTTTCCATGAGGTGTGAAGTTATGATGGCGGTAACTGTGAAGAACACCATCTTCTTGAATGTGACGCTGTGGCAACCACTTGCCACGGATTTTTATACTCTGAAGATGGAGGCGATATGTTCCTCCGAATTGTCGGTTTGCACAATAACTACATGACTCCACATCCCAGAAGGTGGCATTCTTCATTTTTCCATGAGGTTTTCTTTTCTCTTTCTTCGGTTTTCCCAGTTGTTGCTTTTGGAATGACTTTCCCACTAACAGTTTTTTTACATTATTCTCCATACAGAGGTACTTGTGCAGTACATTTTAACCACCAACATTTGCTTCCCTAACAGTAATATGAGATAAATATTGAAACTCTTGTGTAGGGTAATATTCTGATTCTTAAATTTAGTATGAAAATGTTATGCAGTATATCTGTCCTTATGTTTCTTTTAAATCTCTTTTTTTTCTTTTTTGGCTTATGTGCTGATCCATTATACTTTTGTTTTTCCTCCATGTTTGTCTAATTTTAGAACACAACAGCTTCTTTATTTATATAAATGGTCATGTATAGACATTTCCTACTTGCAGACGAATCCGAAGGTGGAATGAATGTTTCAGTACCAAATGTACCAACAAAGAGACCACCAGGACGGCCTCGCATAGCTGGACGTAGGAGTAAGAAACCAGGTAATTTTAGTAGTAAATGAGTAATATTTTCTGTAGTGTGTGTTATATTTCAAAAATGAACATGGTTTTCTCTTCAGACTTTGAAATGCATATAATCTAAAATTTCCTCTGGCATTAACTATAGACAAATTTCGGTTCAGAAGCTGTTATTAAACACAGGATCATAACAGTTACATGTCAGAAATTCAGGGCTAGGCTAAATGTCAGCAGAACATCAGCTATAATATGAGTATGTTTTATTTTTTTTTTGGCTAAGGGGCTTGTGAATTCCACTGGCAGGCCAAATCTTGGAAGCCCTGCCTTAGGAGGAGAGTCTGTATAACTTGAAGTGCACAATAAGCTCATGACACTTTGTTAAAATGACTTCAATTGATGGAATTGTTACCAGTACTTTCAGCAGGGCAGTTAGTGTGTGCTTTTCTCAGGATACCACTGTTGTCAAAGGGACAACGGTTTTACGCTAGTTTCTACTACATGTAACCTGACAGGAGATAACAAGCTTGTAAGCAAGTTTTTGTTCAAAGATAAAACGAATAATATGTAACATTGTGCCAACTGAAGAAAATTAAACAGGAGTAACCTTTATTAGTAAGACATGCATCCAGTTAACCTTGAACATTTAGAAATATGTACATGACATGTGTATGACATGAAGGCTAACCTGTGCATCCAAGAGGAGTTTTTGACAATGGGAATCGGTGAGAATTATTGTTAACTGATATGCATATTATGTGGAATACTGTGTTGAAGGAAACCCTCTCTCTAAGGCATACATGGTGGTGCTGTGACATTGCAGCAAGTAATATTGTTTTTACATCATTTATGTGGGCCAGGATAGGTCATTTAATATACTGACAAGGCTGTGAATCGGAGACACAAAATGTTAGGGTTCGATTTACGGCAGGATCAAGGGATTTTTTTTTTATCTACTCTACAACATCCGCACTGCCTGCATCCAGCCTTCTATTTATAGGTTACTGGAGGTTCATTCTCTAGGGGTAAAACAGCAAGGGCAAGAAGCTGAGGTTTTGTAAGCAAAGAGCTGTACTTTCACTCCCCATGCCTTCAAGCATGATGACATATTTCCCTGGATTTATCATCATGTTAATGACTTAAGAAGTGTATTTAGTAGTACATATGTATTCATTATCATTTGTATGTATGTGAAGTTATATACCGATTCTTAACTCCTGAACACAGTTTGTATGACCATTAACATAGTGTTGCTGATTTATTGAACTGATAAATGTTATAATAATAAGTACCGATTGAACATTTTTCTTTATTGAAAAAGTAATTTCAGCTTTAAATGGTTGACATTGGAGGATACAGCTTTAAGTAAAGTTCTTTTAAAATCTTTATTATAGTCTCATACTGGGGGGAGAACATTATGATTGTACTGAAATTTTATGCTTAAAATTTGAGGGGAAATGCTCCAGAAGCAAAAGAATGTCACGAAACTACACAATAACCTCCAGTACATTTCATAAATGCCAAGGGGACAGTTGAGATAGTTTTCCAGGTGCAGAAAGACTGATTTTATGTAAACACTAATAAAATTTGTGTACCGTGAGCAACCACTAGTATGTATTTGTAAGTTAAATTTATGTTAAAGTTAATCGGATAATTTTCCTTACTATATGGTGTCTCAAACTGAGGGTTGTCTTGTCCCAGGTATCAGGACCTACTTCAAGAAGTGTCACAAAATGCTCAAGAATTACGTAAAATATAGCTGGAGCCAAATAACAATTTGGCAAGTTGTGAGACTTAGTATCATAGTATCAGAGCTTTCAGAAAATGAAGCTGCAGCCAGCAGAACATTTGATGATTTTTTATGTGACTGTGCAGGAACATTTTATAGTTTCTTATAGATGTAGGGAGGGTGGAAAGCTATTTAGGTACCTGGTGTTACTGTACTGCCTGATAACCCACATTCAGCAATGTGCAGAACTGCACTTTTTCACTGACCAGCAGAGTTGGGGAGGGTTACATTGAATTTATGTATTATTTTAGGTCATTGTGTTGCAGAGTTTCAGAATTTCTGCCTCACATAGTAAGCTGTCAGTATAGGTAATGGTGAGCTGATTTGTTGGACCTTGAACATTTTGTATTTGAAGCATGTAAGGTTAGCCTCTTTTTTTTCTTCAACATTTCCACATTTACATCATATGTGGGTTGTCTAGCAACCAAACTGCTAGATCACTGAGTGTGTCCCTCTCATATGGTGTGGACGTTGGCTTGATACTATCTCTAGTGAGCAGGAATAACCAGAATGAGTAATAGAAGCATAGGTGTTGAAATTGGTAACAGCTCTAACAGCAAAAGAAAAAGTGGTAACAATGGTTCATCTTCTGGGTGCCTATAAACATACCTGAACCTGATGGTCGACCTGTTTGGAATTCTAATGTAATATTCTTTATTTAAACAGAAAAGAAGATTGGAAGGTTATGGGAATTTATTAGAGATTTGCTTCTGAATCGAGAATACTGCCCAAGCTTAATCTGCTGGGAAAACCATGAAGAAGGGGTTTTTAGACTTGTGTGTAGTGACAAGGTTGCAAAACTGTGGGGAGACCGAAAACAGAACCCTAATATGACATACGAAAAATTCAGTCGTGCAATGAGGTAAGCCATTTTACTTTTTGATTTTAATATCGTTTTTTATTTAAACAGAAAAGAAGACTGGAAGGTTATGGGAATTTATTAGGGATTTGCTTCTGAATCGAGACTACTGTCCAAGCTTAATTTGTTGGGAAAACTATGAAGAAGGTGTTTTTAGATTTGTGCGTAGTGAGAAGGTTGCGAAACTGTGGGGTTCACGCAAAGATAACCCTAAAATGACATACGAGAAGCTCAGCCGTGCGATGAGGTAAGCCATTTTATTTTTTTTTTTAAGTAGCATGGTCTACCTGGTGTCTGACACATGATCGATATTTGCATACTTGAGCCTGAAAGCTGTTGTGATTGGACTGATATGGCATTCAGTGTTTTGTAGATTGCAGGTTATTTTGTGTTCATAAACCAACTGGCATGCATTTTGAAGTAATTTCTGTATCAGTTTTGCAGAGTTGTGGCATGTACATATGATATTTTTATACCGGTGACTTTTAAGAGGGTGCATGGTTTCAAATGCTTTTTTAATTTTTTCACTGAGACTAAACCACTTTTATATGTTCGCAAAGTTAGGTACAGTGACATAGGTTTATTCATTATATTGCAACAGCAAAAGGGTATTATTTGTGCATCTATTAAAATATATTCGTTAGAAGTGAAACAGTTTTCCACCATTGCATGTTCTAATAGTTACAAATATAAATGGGATATATTCCAGACAAACTTCAGTCCTCTATAAACTGCAGATAGTAAATACTCATGGTCTTCCATTTATGTGTCATTTTCTACCTTTGCTATTTGATTATTTTCCATGTATGTAGATTTTGTAAATTCTGTTTTAAACTTGTAATTATTTGTAATTTCGTGGTTTTTTCAATTTTTTTACAGCCCCAAAGGGTGTATCCCAAAACAATCATGAAATGCTTATGTACTTTCTATTATAATCCTGTTTTTTTTTTTTCAATTTCTTTTACTGTTCCGAAGGGTGTAGCCCAAAACAAACATGAAATGCTTGTGTACTTACTATTTTAAATACATATTGTATGAGGTGGTATTTGAAAGTACATTATCCATATTCTGTAATTAACATTTTCTAATCATTAAACAATGCTGAAACATTGTGGCTTGTGGTGGGTACATATAACCTTAAATATCTGACGTGTGAAGTTTGCATCCTGTAGAGAGCTTGGAGGTAGCATGGGTATGTGCTATTACTTTGCTCGAAGACTTTGCATAGTATACTCTTCATATCAGTTCTCACATTGCAATATCACCATACATTCTTTTATAGAGACATTGCACTCTAATTTGTCTAGGGAGTAGCATTAGATTCATAGGCATATGGAGATAATGACTATAGAAAATAAACACTTCAAGGGATTTGAGTTGGAGTTCAGTTAGTGAGAGAAACCTGAGTTTTATGCAACTTATTCAAGATGTAATGCCGTTTTCAAGCTACTACAAATTTTTTGTTCTGTAATGTGGTGCAGTGCTTTCAGCAGAGGATATGTGGCAGGTCTGAACAGGCTTTATATTATAACTGATTGTCCGTCTTACCTCCATATTTACATATACATATTTTAATTTAATTACGTCTGAATAATAATGCTTTCATTTTAATTACACATTATCCAAGTGGTATGATGGAATATGAGGCAGTCAAATCGCGAGGTAGGCGCTGTGTAGAGAGTTGCACAACATGATGCAAAATTTTGGGAAGTTTTAAGAGCTTGAGAATTTCTTTGACCTTGGGGACACTTCATATATGGAACATTCTAGAAGGAGTGGATGATGTAATGCGTCTGCATTTGTGGTGTGATTGCCTGAGGTCTGTAACCTGGGTATTTACTGTGGATTGATAGCCAATCAGACCAAAGCTGGCTGTGCATAGTATCATGGCAGTATTTTAGCTTCACATAATGTTAACTCTCTGCAGTGCGAAAAGTCACCTCGTAATCGTCAACCAAGCCAAACATAGGCCCATGTTCTTCTTCCAAAGGTGCAGAACAAAGATGTTAGCAGGTTTACTCCATGTGGAGTTAAAAACTGTTAAAATACCAAATCTCATTTCTCTACAGTGAGTAGTTGAGCAGGAATGTTGAATCTATGGAGAGAAATTAGATTTTGCCACTCCTTTGTAAGGCATTTCAAGATGGAATCAAGATCTGAATGTATCCTCATGCATTGAAGACTGTTAATTGGTGCCCAGTATGTGGCATAGGGTCGAATACCAGTTTACCCCTCCCCATTTTTAACTTCTCAGAGCTCATAAGAGACAAAGTTTTAAATGGCAGTGATAATTTCTTAAGAGTTTGTTCCAGAAACATTCTGTTACCAATGTAAACTACAGGTACTTAAATATGTAGGGCCAAAATTCAGTCAGCAGCTGAAGTGTGTTATTTAATGACTGCACCAAGAAATATGGTTTTAAATATAATGTACTACTGAATAATTACTTACATTATTGATGTATAAATTACAGTTAATGCCAAGTGTTCTGAAATATAACAACAGTGTAATAAGCCAGTAAACGCTTCCGCAATTAGATATTAAATTGCTGCAAGAAAGGACCAGTGTGTTATAGTTTGGAATACAGCATTTGAGAATGCACAGTGCATAACTTCCCCCCACTTCCAAGTAGGAGTGTTGGGGCGTTCTTTATGATTGCGTATAGAACTCGTAAGTGCAGTAGCGATATGGTCGGAATTCTTATTTCTAGGAATAATTATGCTACCTGAATCCCCGACCCTGTTCCCAAAACAGGTCGGTACCCCAAGAAGTTGGTCTGTAAGTTTGGTCCAGCAGCCCTGGGTTGGCGCTTCCCTGCAAAAAGTAACCCCATGATGGGATAAGAAATACAGCCAGGTGCTGAAGTTTATCTAATCTCATCTTTGCTTGTAGAATGCATTTAGAATTGCTTGTAATACATTGTTTCTGCATGTTAGCATGGTTTTATGGGTTGAATAAATTAGGTTTCTGGGAGAATGAGCACTTACATGAGCAAGGGTCTACAGATGATGATAATCAGATACCCCAGACTTGTTTTTGTTGTTGAGGATATGTGCTATGTGCATCAGGAATTTTCAGAACTAGAGAAATGACGGGAAGATGTTGGAAATTTTGCTGAAGCCATAAAATGAAGTCAGATTGACTACTTTCACATCTCCTTTGAGCTGTTACACTTCCTCTCTGACGTAGTTTCCTGTCCTCCCCTCATGTTGTTTGGCCATTCTGTTCATATTAATGTTGGTAGTAAAGTCTGTTTATGTATTCAAAAATGAATTTTGTGTAATGTTCTGAAGTCACATGTATAAGATTCACTGTGTAGCACTGTACAAAAGCGAATGTCACTTTTGCTTTGCTTTTGCATGTGGTGTAACTGAAATTTTGTATTATGATTCTTTCAACTTACCTAATGTATGCATTGATAAGCTTCTAGGTTAATTATAACAATAAACCTATTACACCTAACTTTCCTAACACATGCATAGTTCTTTGAATTTAGAACACACAGTATTCTATTCAAGCTTTGTTTTAAATGTGGTTTGAAACTTTGTATTGTTATCAACAGAGCCTAAGACAGTGTACTTGTTAGGAGAATCCATCATGTGAGCAGTGGTTATATTACTGCTATTAGAAAAATCAGTAAGATATTAGTCCAATTTTACCAGTGATGGAAATCTTTTGAATTGCCATATTGAACACATGCATATGATGAAACGTTTTTTCTTGTATGATTCTTTTCATTTTTATTGAAAGGCATTTTTTGAAATTAATCTAGGTGTTAACATTAGGGTTGTGACCTGATGCAAAAATGTGGCCTGGAGGCATTGTTTTATGCTCATCTTTAAAGTAGGCATTTCAGTATTCAACTTGAGTTCCACAAGTAAGACCAGAGGCAGTTCACATTTTTTTTTCCACATGTGAACTCTAACTGAACACAGGTTCAAACACAGCAGGTAATGCATATTGTTGGTGTTTACAGGTACTACTACAGAAGCAAAGTATTGTTGCCTGTTTTGGGCCGGAGGCTGGTGTACAAATTTGGACCATCCGCAACAGGGTGGCACACACAAAACCCAAACTTCAGGGTGTAAATGACTTGACAGTGATATATTTCTGTGCTCATTTCATTATGGGTAGTACTGAAAAATTATGTGATTTGAACTTCGCTTAAAAATGGAAACTAAGTTTATTTGGATGCGATGGAGTGGCTGTATGGGAAGTCTGTTGGCAAAGCAAGTAATTATAAGACACTGAATTGCTGGAAGTCACAAAGGGACACTTTGTGCTATAATTTTAGGGCTTCATGGCTGAATGTAACCTGTTTTTCTCCCTTAACAGAAGAAGATCAAGATAATTCATTAATGGTAATATGCTACAGACAGCATACTATTGAGAGCACTTAAATTTATAGTATGTGTGTATCCGGACTTAGTGGAATTGAAGGTTTTAAGTACAAGTGGATCAACAGCGTTCTCAGATTATGGTCTGCTACATGCAGCATACAGCACAAATCCAAATGAAGTGCAGTTTTGTGAAATATTCTCAGGTTGTTGATTAGTAGTCCTCAGAAAGTGTTAGTCAAAAGCAACATAAGACACCAGTCAATAAAAATGCCATGAAGTTGTAACTTTGTATATGAGCATGAAAGTTATGTTGGCAATTTATTTAAAACTGGGTATGGATAGTCAAAAGTAACTCATGTAACAGAAGCTCTTTTTGCCCACGTATGTATTAAAAATATCTATCAACGGTTTATCAAAAATTAAATGAATTCCATGTTATAGATGATGCGTAATCATTTCATAATAATATTTGTCTTCATTATCCTCACAAAATTAGTTTATATGAAACGTGGAAAAAATTTGACCATTCAGTGTCAACAGAGCAGTATGTAATGCTGTGGATTAAATAACGCTTTGTTTCTATTGTCCTGGTAATTTTTGATGCAGTTAACAGTATTGAGTGGTGGTTTCAGAACATTATAACTGTGTAGTATCAGAGGTTATACATGTTTCAGATGTGTTTCACAGAAATTATACTTCATCGGTATATATATATAAAATATGTGCAGTATCTTTTTTATACATGATTTTAAGAATTTTATTATTGTATGCTTTAAACATAAGATATGATTTTATTTTATAAATACATCACAGAAATGTTTATTTTATATTTTGAAGTTAATTTTATATTTTAAAGTTTATTTGGACACCTGATTGAGTTTAGTATTGTACCAGTAAAAGTGTTAACTAGTGTATTACCGGAATCGTTTGATGTATGTTATGGAATGTGATGATAGTCATATGTACTGTATCAATAAGAAATACAAATTGACAGTGGCTGTTCCTAATAAACATATTCTAATATAACATTGCTTTTCTTCTATTTGACCTTCAGGAGTTCTTGTTCTTTACCGAATATGAATCAAGATATTAATATGGTAAATATGTGAAGAAGAAACGATTCGGTGAAATCGCTACTGGACCATCGGTTTTGTACCTGTAGTATTACCATATGGGTTGGTGTAGTAATTCTGTAGACTTGCATTCTAAGGTTGTTTGGTTTGAATCTCAGCCAGGTCAGGTTATACTGAGGTATTTTCTGGTTCTCCACAGTCCCTGTTGTCAAATTCCGGGATAGTATCCTGAACCAGAAAACACCTCTCAGTATAATCAGTTACCTGTCTGCAAATGATTATCAGGGCCAAGATTTTGATGACATTTCATATTTTTCTCTTTGTATCTTATTCGATGCCCATAAATATATAAATCCCAGAGATGAGCTGCTGGTTACAGAAATTTAACTTTTTTAGGTCATTTTTCATAATTCTTAAATTTTTAGGTCCTTTTTTTCAGTAAATTTTTGTACTTTTAAGGGTAATCTTTTGTCATTTTAGGGGATTTTTCTTCATATGTTTTCATAAATGTGATTAACATGCAAGTAAAGTGTTCTTTCTCATTCTCCTACCTCTACAAAGGCAGCCTGCAGCTGCACCCCAAATACCTGCTTCCACAGTATGGAATAAGAAGTAATCCTGTCCCATCCTTTTCGTTCGTTTTGTGGAAAGAGCTGACGTTACATATAAAACATTTTAAGCTGGCAGCGGTTAGTCACACTGTGGCCCTTTCCAAGTTCTGTGCAGAGGAATATTTCTAGCCATAATCCCTCACTTTTTATGACGTTGTTGCTCAATAAAACTCCGTCTGTCCTCAGTTTCTCGTCCTTGATCATATGGACAAAGATAAAGTTGACGAAAGGTTCTCAGTATGAAAAGTTCAGTTCTGTGTTGCACTAGAGTGATTCATTTTATTACGATGCCTAAAGCAAAGCCATCTAAATCTTGTCATTTAAAGCAGATTATGGCTGAATTTGGAGATGATATATTTTCAACTGACGGTAACATTTTATACTGTAAGATGTGTCACACAAAATTAGCAGCAGAAAAAAGATTCACAGTACAACATATCGGCCACAACAAGCTTATACGAGCAGTGCGAAGGCATAAATAAGTCATCCGATGTTTTCACTGATCTGTGTGATGCTCTGGTGCCCACAAATATTCCGTTTTGGGCTCTGAACAATGAAAACTGAAAAATTTTCTGGAAGTGATTTGTCGTCGTTTTATCCCAGATGAATCCACTTCCTTTCCAAGTTCTACAACAATATCCTGGAAATGATTAGGAATAAAGTGCATGGGAAGAAGATTTTCATTTCTATTGATGAGACCTGTGATATGGAAGCTCGCTACGTGGCAAGTGTCATCATTGGAACCTTGGAAATTTATGTACCAAGTGAAGTATTTCTGCTTACAATCCGTTAATTATTCCACAATTTGTAAACTCTTTGACAGGTTGATGTTTTTACTGTGGCCAGGGAGTACACAACATGACGACTTGGTTTTTGTGACCGATACTGCCCCATATATTTTAAAAGCAGGCAAGTCAATAAAGTCGTTTTATATGAAATTGGTGCATGTTACTTGCCTAGCACATGCACTGTATAGTGTGACAGAGGAAGTGAGATCAAGATTTCCTCAAGTGAATGCTGTCATGGTGTGGACAAAGGTTTTTGTTAAGGCTCCAGCTCGTACAAAACAATTTAAATCTATGGCTCCTGGTGTTCCACTGCCCTCAGAACCCATCATCACAAGATGGGGAACATGGATTGATGCTACAATTTACTATTGTGATCATTTTCAGGTAGTGAAAAACATTGCAGATTCATTGAAGACTGAGGAAGCAAGGGCAAATGAAGCTGCTCAGGAACAGTTGTTGTGCAGTGAAACGGAAGGGCAGCTGGCCTTCATAAAGGCAAATTTCAGTTCCTTGATGGAAGGAATCAAATGCTTACAGGAGAAAGGAGCAATGCTAGAAGATTCGCTCGCTCTGGTGAAAAAAATAGCCAGTGATTTGGAGAAAGTATCAGGGGACATTAGTAAAATGGTGTCAAGAAAAATTAAACATGTTCTAGATAAAAACTAGGGTTACAAAACATTATGCAGCATTTCTCAAATTCTGACAGAGTGCACGTCAGAACTTTCAATATTGAAGAGGAACTTACTGCTGGTGATTGGTACACTTCAGGTACGCTCCCATTGTGTCTGCAGGTGTGGAAAGGAGTTCCTCCAAGTACAAGAATGTGCTATCAGACAATAGACTTTCACTCATCTTCGAGAATCTGCGCATGTTGACTGTCATCTATTGCAACTCTAAATGAGGTGGAACTTAAAATACTGGAATATATACCATATATGTACATTTGATGCCGGTCATGGTAACTGAGCGGTCTTAGGCATATACTTCACTCGTCTGGAAACCGGGACCGTGGGTTCGAATCCCACTCAGGGCATTGATGTTTAGTTTGTGTACAGGTAGAGGCCTTGTGACAAGCTGATCACCCGCCAAAGGAGTCCTACTGAACGTGCAAGATCTAGAAAAACCGAAGTGAATGGAGGTAGGACTAGGCCAACTGGGGCTGTAGTGCCAAGGAAAAAAAAAATGTACATTCGATAAGCGTTCCAACGCAGTAGAAAAAATCATATTAAAACATTTAGCTTCAAATTCAATCATACATTGCTTAGTTTTCAACATAAAAACAGGGACGAACTTAAGAGTAACATTGAGTTCACAGTGTTAATAAAGATGAAAAATACATTTTAAAACAATCAGTAGATTTTCCTTGACATGATACATTTGAGGTCGTTTTTAAACTTTTAGATAATTTTTCTAGATTTTCGGCCATTTTTAAAATACTTTTAGGTCATCAAAATCCGGGCCCTGCTGATTATACTGAGAGGTGTTTCCACAGTCCCTCTAGACAAATTCTGGGATAGTATCTTGGGTAGGCCATGACCAATTCCTTCCAAACTATTTTCATCATCGTACCATTTAGTGCCATATGGTAGAACTAGTGATGGCACTTTTAAATAACTCACACTAAAAAAAAAAAGGAGTTAAAACTGTTACACTGTAATTTGTAGGCTTCCATTCTTGTCTACAAGACAATTTTAAGGTCAGTGTTATTGTATTCAGTGGCATGTAGTTTAATAGATGGGACCAACATTTCAGAGGAACCTGCCACCTCAATTTTCATAGCATTAAAGTAGAAGTTTCTTTTATTTGTGGTGTGGGGTAGGACTGGGTAAACTTGGTATGTTGGCTTATATGTCACAGGGAAGGAAGTTTTGTTGAAGCGGGATATCTAAAGGTTATTAAGGAGACTATAACATTTATTCAGTCATTTAGTAAATATATTACAGTATTATTCTATATTGTTTTGCAGAAGCATATATTACAAAAGGAGAATTTTTAAAAGTTTTTACATAAACTTCACAAAATAATACATATATTTCTTAAAAATTATATTTTTGTTTTTATAAATTCACTGCCATCACATAATTTACATGTGTGTGCATGTTAATTCATGCAATAGGGAACGAAACTTTCTTGGGAGGAGAAGAGGTTCCTTAACCTTTTAACATCTGGTAACAGGGGATTTAAATCTGCTGCTACAGTGTTGACAGCTGGATTTTAACTTGGTGATAATGAGATTTATATTGTAAACAACTACATGTTGTGTAAGCTGGGCCCAAGTGTGGATGAAAGTGAGACACAGAAGATAAACGGTTAATACTGCTCACATGTTCTGAACTTTAAAAGTAAACCATTTTATTTCAGTCACCATAACTCTAGCATCACACATTTCAAAGCCATCACACAATATACAAGATGCTAAACTCTTATGCTAAAATATAATCAATCGTCTTGTAAGTAACCAGCAACTGGGTAGTTAAATTTACCACAAATCTAGGTTAATTTGCAAAACATTAAGCAAGTAATACCTGACAGTATTTACATCAATTTAGAGGAAAATTGTTCTTTTTATATAAAAAGAAGACTAATGGGGACAGTGCCAGTCACGGCAGCCGAGTGGTCTATGGCATGTACTGTCTTCGCTTGCTTGGAAACCAGGATCAGTGGTTCAAATCCTACTCAGGGCATGGATGTTTAGTTTGTGTGTGTGCGTTCTTCTGTGTCTGTGTACAGGTAGAGGCCTTGCGACGAGCTAATCACCCACCCAAGGAGTCCTACCGAACGTGTAAGATCTATAAAAACCGAAGTTCATGGAGAAGTTCATGGAGGTAGGCCTAGGCCCACTGGGGCTGTAGTGCCAAGGAAAAAAAAGGGGAGGGGACGGCAATGAATGTAACAATTCACACGGATCTCGTTTTATGTCATAATTGTCCATATACCGATATTTCAGCATAACAGCCATATTACTACAGCAATACAGTATCTAAGTAACACATAACAGTTCAGTCTTCTGTTATTGTATAACAGCCCCTGACAAGGACTGAAGAATGTGAAGTGCCTAATAAGCAATTTTCATACAGTAAGTATGAATAATTACCTGAATTGGCCATTTTTCTCACAAAAAGGCATATAAAATAAATACACTGGCACAATCAAAATTTGTTACCAACAAGAATCAGATTCTGAAGAAACCCACTGTAAATGGAAGTTGCTTCCTAATCCCTCAAGGCAATGATAGGCCCACAGTGCTGAGAAGTCCTAAGAATTTAAAGCTGGAAGGGGGGGGGGAACAGCAACTAATGCTCTAATTTAGGAGAGATAAGTAAAAATGTTAAAGCCTTGGGAACAAAAGTATCATTACATCTGAGGTTTTCACATAAGTTAACTATGAACAGTATTAAATTGTGGCATGTGACTGCATGTAGCCTGTTAGAAGTTTACCACCATTTAAGAGGAATTCACTGCCCCCATCTTCAGCCTTGAAAAGTAAGTCAGTCAAGCAACCAACAGAGCTCAGCTTGCTTCACTTACTGTTCAACCCTGAAGAAGAGAGGGGGGCAGTATTCCTCTGAAATATTAGTGAATTTCTACCAGACTACACAGCATCATATTCCAGAAGACTGTACTCTCTAGTAAGTACTGTTCGCTTTGTTTCCTTCAGGCATCCAAACTCAGCTTTCAGTTACTATTCTGCTATATTAAAATACAGTTAAAAAATGTAAGTTGGCAATGTAATCTGATGTGGCCATTCACCTGAGAAGATTTTAGTGCATTTATTTGCTGTGAAAATTTCAGATCTTGTGTAAGTAAATATTTAATTCTAGAAGGAATTCTAGCAGATATCCAGTAGTTTCATCTTTGCTGTTATGTTCATTATGCCATCAAGCCTTGACAAAATTCTAGGAAGGAAACATGAAACCACTAACACTAAGAGCAGCTTATTTGAGGTGTAACTGAATAGCAGTTTAGTTCATAATGTATTAAGCAGGGAGGGAGGGAAGGAGGGGCAGGAAAATGTAAATATTAAACTATTATTTGTGTTAAAAGTTTAATAAGTGAATTTGTGTTTGCTGGTTTCCCAGCATCTTCTACACTACTGCTTGTTATGCTCTTAAATACTTAACCAATTTTTAATCAACTTAAAAGTGGAGTGTTTCCTTAAAACTGGTTTATATTGATGAATACAGTTTCATTACTTTTGCTCCCAAGGGACCAAATGAAGGAGTCACTGAGCTCTGTATTAGTAGCCAACCCTGCTGCTGCTACTCTCTCCTTAAGTTGTCAAGCCGAGCCTGGAGGTCAGCATCTGCATCATTGATGGCTCCTGCACCACCGCCACCGCCTGCAGCTGCGGCCATGGCTGGTGCTTTTGCTCCGCTTGCTGCTAAGGAACCTGATGCTTGTGGCAAGCCAGACAACTGGTCTGTAAGCTGCAGGCCTAGCTCATCCAGTACTTGTGACACAACAGCATCACTGAAACACAAAAATGAACTCTCAGTTCTGCCGTCACAAAAGGTGAATGACCTTGGTAAAATGGTGTCCCAGTATGAAGCCAGCCTTCATCCTTCAGTCTCTTGTTAACTGACAATGGTAGCAGAATCTAAAGGTTTGTTGCTAATAAAAAAGTCTGGTGTTGCACATGGTCCTGAGCTAATTCCATCCACTTCTCATTGTCACTATTACTGAGATCCCACTCAGTGCTGTCCTCCCTTCTTTTCAACCTTTAAAACTGATATTTTATAAGTGGTTTAACCCAAAATTCTGCATACATTCTTTGTCTTCTACATTTCAAACACATACTCTACCCATTTAGCCTCCAAGCTATTGATATCTTAAAAAAGGAAAGTGACTTGTTTCAAACCTAACAAACAGACTAATTTAAACATATAGATCACTATGCTTATATATTTGTATTGAAGTTACCATTCTGCTGTGTTAAGCATAGTTACTTCAGTTTCTTTGGCTATTATACTAGGCTGTTTAGCATGTTTGGAACCATAAAATCTGTAATTGAGATTTTATGAAATTTACATTGTTACAAAAGTGTAGATGTAACAACATTTACAGCCCATCTTGTGTAGTGATTGGCAATAAGAAGCATTCAACTATTTCATGGGAAAATAATGTACAAATGAGTAATTATTGATATAGAATTGATGCAGGAACATAAAAAATGTATAAAGTTTACTTTTTCTCAACTTCAAAATTTTAAATACGTTGGTTAAAATATTAATTCTTGAGTGATTTTCTGCATGGGAGATCTGATTAAATACAGTGTAATACAAATGCACAGATGTTGGTAATGATAAATATTCTCTCCTGGGGATACAAAAACATTACTCAAATTTACTAGCTGCTTAACAATTCCACTCACTTTTACATTCAGACTGAGGCTAAAATGCAAATCCCTGACCATATTTTTCTTTTCCATAAATATTAAAGTCCCCATTACAGAAATGCAGGACACAAACAAACTGCATCTATGATGATAATCCAGGAGACACTGGGAATGAATCCTGCATAAGTCATCAGCCTCATGAGACATTTTCTTCCACGTCTCTGCTGTGTTCCCTCACAAAACTGCAAAATATTTTCTTTCTCATCTAATAACACTATTTTATTAATGACACAGAGTGTCAGCCAAACTGTGTAATTCTCCAGCCTTCCTGTATTACAGGATGAAATTTATTTCAAAGATATAGTTTCAATGATAAATTTTCCAAGGATAAGCACAACAATTTGAAGCAGGTTACCCAGCATGTGTTGGTAAAGGGAGGTTCTATGTCTGTGTATAAAATAAGGAAATTTAGCAGGGAAATACCTTTCTTCTTCATCACCTTCATCTTCCATTGCATCATCAATGGCATCATTCATCATTTCTTCTTTCATGTCCATTATCTCTGACTGTTTTTCAAATTCTTGAAGAATTCTCTGAATCTGAGGCAAGTTCAGTTGCCTAAAACATGTCCAACACAAACCAATAAAAATCTTAAGAACTTAGAAGACAAAATTACATAATTGGGAATTTAAAAATTTTCTTATTCAATCATGAATGATGAGACAGGATTGGAAAACCTGAAAGGAAGAGACCACCCAGGAGATCCAAGCATGATTATGGTTTATTTAATGATGCTGGCTGTATCTTGGACTACACAGTGTTAAACAGTATGATGAATACTCTCTACCGTGTAGTCTGACAAGACATTTACTGACATTCTTTAGGATCCTTCCATTGTTCTCCTTACTCCTACAGGTTTGCTCATGGTGCTGGTCCTCTCTCACTAGATCAGTTTTTCCTTGGTTGGTTTACTCTCAACCTTGAGGATGGAAGTAGCACATCACTCAAAATGTCAGTAAACATCTACCTGTGTAGGATTTGAGGTTCTCACATCGGTGCAGAGTTCAGTCTTTTAGGATGTAACACCATGTAGTCTGCTGAAAGTCAACTGATGTTTCAGAGGAAAATGTTACCTCCATCTTCAGGGCAAAAGAAAAAGCAAAGCAAGAAACCAGCATGACGAGTTTTTCTGGACTGCATTATGTTACAACGCAAAAGAGTGTACACTTTGGTTGTTTCATGCCCTCTGGAAAAGGAGTGGAAAGCGTCCAATCACCGGGGCTGATGCAAGCCTAATGCCACCCCAGGTGATGAGAAATTCTGCTTCATGAAACCTGATATATTATTTTTAACACTTACAAAATAAGGATATTCTTTCATTTAAACATTTGTTATAATGACGATATACATGCCTGTTCATATTCTGCATTGCTTTTGTTACACCTTTCATAGCTTGTGCCATTGCATTTTGTGATCGGAGGGTCTGTATTTTAAGAGAAACTGCTTGAATATTAGCTTTCATGAGCATAAATTTTTTTACATATCGACGTGTTCTCACAAGGTCCTTGGCCATTATTTTTACAGCATCCTGAAACAGTAAAACAATGTAACTTCCAATCATGCTTATGCAGGTACTGAAAGGTTTCATACTAAACTAGCAGAGGTGAAACTGAAAGGCGAAAGAAGAAATTTGTCTATGGGTTTTAATAAAATTTAAGTTATCCTTTATGATACCATTAAGTGTTCACTGATAGCCAATTTTGTCTATATGTTTCAACCCAAATGTAGAGGGAAATTATAAATCATTGGTACTATAAGAAACAACTTCTTGCCTATGGGCATAATTTCATATAACATTTATACAAACCATTTGTCCTTCTTTAGCCATTTTCTTTATATCTGTGATAATCTTTTTTTCTTGCTGTTCCATGCGTGCTCTTTCACGGTCGAGATCTCTCATAGCCTTGTTTAGTGCACGCTGATTTTTGCGCAACATCTCCTCTGGTGTCATACGTTTGCCAAAAAGCCATTCTAATGGCATTGTGCTTGAACTGAAATAAAAGAATAATAATTCCTACAGCGAAAGAGTTTGTGGGATGTCGTTATATGAAGAGACAACCACTTGTTGAACTGTTCTAATGTGTCCGAATCACATTGGGGTCACCAATGTGGGATGTCATTATATGAAGAGACAACCATTTGTTGAACTGTTCTATAATATTTATTAGAGTTGTACAGTATACCTAGATGAACCTGAGTTTGAAGAATTGAAGAATAATAATAACAATAGTGAACTCCCTGAACACTGAACCAGAACTGTAAACTTCCACTCAATGTATCTTCTTACATAACCTAGAAAACATGTTACTGTCTGTATTGTTGTAGGCTTTGCCTAGCAACAGCTGTTTACTCACTTTGCCTAGCAACCGCTGTTTACTCGCTGTTGCTAAGCAATGATACTTGCGTTGTCACATTTGCTTGAATGTGGGCAGTTCCCACAAATATTTATTATAGTTGCACAGTATATACAGACGAACCTGAGTTTGAAGAATTGAAGAAGAATTATAACAATAGTGAACTCTGTAACACCTTGAACATTGTATTGAAACATAACACTGAACTAGAACTGTAAACTTCCAAAGTCAAAGTCACATTGCGACTGACGGTCGGTCAATCAGTCAGTCAGTCAGTCAGTCAGTCAGTCAGTCAGTCAGTCTTGGTATCGAGCCCCATCAGATATTAATTACTACCATTTGACAGTTACGGTCTTAATTTTGTGGGGTGCCCTCTCTGACAAGAAAATGGGTCTGTCTTTTGTATATGCTGCTGGCCCTTGCCAGCACGGTCTTTCTGGGGTACAAGTCCCTTGGGACTCATGACCATATTTTACTGTCTCAGATTTGAGACTTCCCTTTTCGTCACCTCCTACAACTCGCAGGGTCACGGTGGAGGTATTCGACCCCGCCTTCACACGTGTGAGTGGCTCAATACTGTCCTAACTACTTCAGCTCTGACAACTCAAGTATCACTGCTTAGCAATGGCGAGTAAATTCATTGCTAGGTAAGGTCTACAACAATATGTGACTGTGGGAAGCACCCACAGTAGACTGGGCGCTAGCCAATCACAAGCTAGGAACCATTTGCTGCTCGGCAATGGCTGAGTAAACAGCTGGTGCTAGGTAAAGCCTACAACAATACAGAAAGTGACATGTCTGACTCAAGGTTAAATAAGAAGATACATTGAGTGGGAGTTCTGAGTTGACAGTTCTACACACGTGGAGGTGGGGTCGAACACCTCCACTGTGACTGTGCGAGTCATAAGAGGTGACGAAAAGGGATGTCTCAAATCTGAGACAGTAAAATATGTTCACAAGTCCTAAGGGACTTGGAACTGAGAAAGACTGCGCTGGCATGGGCCAGCAGCATATACAAGTGACAGACCCGTCCTCTTGTGAGAGAGGACGCCCCAAAATAAACAAGACCATAACTGTCAAACAGTAATAAATAAGCCAATGACTTTAAATTCTTCAAGTTCGTCTGTGTATACTGGCAACTGTAATAAATATTTATAGAACAGTTCAACAAGTGGTTGTCACTTCATATATCGACATGCCACAAACTGTTGCTCTGGTGAATTGCTATATGATTCTTAAGCTTGTAGCAAATGTGTTCATAGGTTTAAGCCATAAATTTAATACCGAAATAAATATGGAATATTAAATGCCACAAATTATTCTTATTCGCCAAGTTATGGACATGTCAATCCTGTCAACGTGTGTAACTTGTCACCACCATGAAACAGACCTAGCTTTACCTTTGCCACTCTCAATTAAATCTACTCAAATAATTATTTCTATAAATCCAACACGTTACTAAGCATAACATCACCGTCTTAACTAAATGCTGGATTATACCTTATTTCGGCTAAAGGCTTGAAAATTTCGAACCGTCACACTACCTGCAATAACAGTTCACAGTTTTGTGCAAATTTTTATTTAATTAGGTAGGTTAAAATGTCATGTATAACACAATTTAAAAGCAACAGTACCTTATCAAAAGCTTGATTTGATAAATATCGTGTATGCCTACAACTAATTCACACTCCCTTCCTTACTATCCACACTCCTCACGCTCCTCACCCCCTCTCACCTCTCGCTTCTACTTCACTTCATTGCGGTCGCTGTGATTGTATATATACGATATACCATCATATGCTAGATACTGTTCGTACTTTTCTGTGATGTTCCGCTCAGTATTGCTCGATTCTAGAACGCGTTCGAGTTACAACTTCCTGTACGAGCTTTGGCTAAAATCCGGATTCCGGAACTGAGAGATTAGAGAAGACGCCTGCTAGAGAAATTATACACGTAACATTTAACGCTAGTATATTTTTAAAGTAAGTAAAATCGGCATTAGCATTTTCTTACATGTGATGGCTTTTAGTAGTGAGATAGTAAAGGTCTAGTAGCCCAGGCATGAACATATGCTTGGCTCATGAATTTCTGGTTCCTTCCAAACGTTTTGTTTAGAAGAAAGGGTATAAACGTAATGTAGTTTGATACCAGTTGTAACGTAATTTACCCGTCTGATGTGTTGTGTATGTAGTACTTTTATGTTGCATGTAAAGTTTTGTGTTTTTCGCATGACCCAAATTTGACATGACCTTGTAGGTCAAAATATGACAAGCATGTTTTTAATCGTTCTCACTGCAAGCAAGTTTAAGACATGGAACTGAGTAACTACTAGTCAGAAGAATAGGGTTGGTCGTAGAAATTACGTAGTTCGTGTAACATGTGGAATTGTTACTGAAGTCCTCATATTTTGTTGAACCGTGTCTTAACCCTTAACTTCTCACACGAATCAGTGTAAGTATGAGGTTTAAAGACAAAACTAAAGAGATTGCAGGATTAAAGGAGAATGAAACATGGAACTAAATAAATGTTTAACAACTCTGATAGAATAAGAGTGTGTGCATTGCGCTTATAAATCAGCATATCTTTCACAGACTAATTTCGGTGTTTACACATAAACTGGTTGCATTGGCACACCAATTTTTACTTTTCTAATATCACTCCTCATACCGAAGCACCCCCTTCATTTAGTTTATATACTGTAGCACGTACAGCTGCTATGTTAGGGCTGCAAGATAAGTGAATAAACAACAGCCGTTTCCGGACAACAGCTGTGTAAACATGTTCCCGCTGCGACGAATGTGCACGCAACAGTGGAAAAACGGTGTTTCTTATGTGGTCCATGCCGAGAAATTATAACCAGGACAGTTCGAGCACAGAAGCTGAAGAATCTCCGTTGTTAAGAATTGTTAACCAGGAAATGACTAGTGAAAGCTGACAGAAGACTTAGCATGTAGTGATTTGTAGTATGGAAATAAGTGATAATGTTATAGTTATTTGTGGTTACGACCTAGAAGTGGTCAATAAATTGAATTATCCAATACCCCATCAATACTCACACACTACAGGTGACCGTACTTTACTGATGAGTTGTCATCCCTCTTTCAAACAATTTACTTGGAATCATTTTCTTCAGTTCCTGTAGCAGTGTTTGAATTTGTGAACTAGTCACAAGCTGACTTTGTACAAGTTCCTTTAGAGATTTCCAATGGTTAATGTTGCCATTTTTTTAACCTTGTCATTGCAAGGCATTAAATGTAGATTTATTCAATGTAGTGTACACTTTGCCATCTCTTATTATACATATTTCTTTTTCCAGGCAGGACCTGAATTTAGAACTAGAAGAATGGATACACCCAGGAAAAATAATGATTGCTACTTCTATTATTATTCAACGTGCTTAAAAGTAAGTGTTGCTTGACTGTGACAGGTGGAGGTTTTAGGTGACCAGTTCATTTCATTTTATTAGTTCTGATTGTTTAGAATGTATATTAATTTACATATATTAAAACAGCAAGCAGTAGCAGTATGGCAAACTGCATTGTTAATAAGGTTGATTTTGTTTGAAATGTGTTGTTCAACCCCCCCCCCCCCCAAAAAAAAAAAAAAAAAAAAAAAAAACTACTAGCAGTGTTATGCCTTGCCGGTTGTGCATAACTCAAATCTCCTTTGTTTGGAATTTGCCTCTGCCAAATTTCTTGGAACAGGAGAAGAAGCATATCAGCAGCTTTTGAAGAGTCAAATTTTAGTATTTTGGCAGGTATATTATTCGAACTTGCAGCTTTCACATTCTTCATTGACTTTAGTGCGTAAATAATTCCTTCTTCAATGATTTTGTTCTACGTATCTGTAGTTGAGGGACTCAATGAGTCACTTCCTCTTCCTCATAAGGAGGACAGTGAGAGTTGAGGATTTTTTTGAAAAATTCCTTCCATCTTTTTAATTGACTCTCAGAGGTTGTTATGCATTTCCCACTTTTAGTTTTTACAGGAACAGTTTAGCCATGAGAGACATTTGTTAAGCATTTTATTGAGTCAGAGACTCCTTTTATGTTTCCTCTGTCTGCAGCAGATCGAGCTTCACTTGCAGTATTGTCCATGTACCTTATATGATCTCTCTATATTAATTTCTTCACTTCCTTGTCCAGGGATGCATATTCTCTTTCCACCTCCATCTGTTTACAGCTATCGTACATTCCACTCATTTTAATCTTCCCTTGCCTGCACTTGTCAGCGATATTCCATATGCTGTCTGATATCCATATCTTATAATTTTTCTCTGGATATCCAGTTGTGTTTTCACATATATAATTTAACACAATTTTATTTTCATCCATTTTTCTTCCACTCTTTCATCTATGGATTCAATTTGGGATACAGCTTTTTGTAGTTTTCCTCTGAGTGAATCCTGTATATCTGGTACTTTGATTTTCATCAAGTTATACTTTCTTCTACATGTTTGTTTTTTCTTATTTCTCCTCATGAAATATGTAATAGTGCCCATAAGCAAATGATGATCAGACCCATTATCATCCTCTTATATTACAGGCATCTAAAAGGGACTTTCTCCTGTTTTTAATGATACATATGTGATCTGTTTGATTTTCCACCTTATTTACAACAGGTGACATCCAAGTAGCCTTATGACAATCCTTATGGGGAAATATGGTATCAGGTAGATTCTAAAGGGTTCTGACAATGGTGGGATAACGCAGATTTATTTACTGGGTTTTTGGAGTTTATCCATTGTCCGGAATTCTAGGAAACAGAAAACACTACGCTTCGGAAACTGGGTCTGTTTCCGTCTTCAGGTGAGGAAGGAAGACACCTGCTCAGTTGGGCCCCTTAGAAAGAGCTAATCTCAATCACTGGACAGCTCCAACAACTTTTTTTTTCCCCCCCATTTCTTCGCATTGGTGCTTGTGCACTTGGTTTTGTTGGGTAGGTTTCTAACACAAATTTTCTACCTCCTTTTCTTTCCTAGTTCCACGCATGTGCATGCTCTTGTCACAATTTTTATTTTATGGTTTCTTGTTATCTCTCACTGAACTAGCCCAGTCTTATATGTTGAAATAGCTGGGTAAATCTGATAGGAGTTGTCCAGTGATTGGGATTAGCTCTTTCTAAGGGGCCCAACTGAGTAGGTGTTTTCCATCCTCACCTGAAGACAGAAACAGATCCAGATTCTGAAACGTCGTGTTTTCTGTTTCTTAGAATTTCAGACAATGGAAAAAGTCCAAAAACCCAGTAATTCTGTGAAATATGGTATTGTCAGTAATAAGTCCACACCTGCCACACAGCTCAAAAAGAAGATATCCATTCTCATTTCTGTGGAGTAACCCATGCTTCCTTATAACATCTTCAGTATCTTGATTATCATTGCCATTTTCAGCATTAAAATCTCCTCTTAATAATCTGATGTCACTTCTATGTATCTCCAATAGTGCCCTATGCAGACGACCACAGAATACTTCCTTTTCCTCAAGATCTGCATTCTCAGTACTGTACAACAGTCATTTTCCTGAATTTACTGTTGATTCAGGCAGTGACGATTTGCTCAGATACAGGTTTCCACTCTAGCAGTGCATCTTCTGCTTTTGTTTATAAGTATTCTCACTCCTTTCATATGGGGTTCATTTTTGGCAGGAATCCCAGAATAGATAAACAGATTACTGTTGTCGCTATACTTCCAGTACCATTCCATCTTACTTCACTTACACCAAGAAGAACAAGTTTAAGATTTTCCATTTCTGTATTTAATATGGCCAAACTGCATTTTTGGTATGGAGTTTGTACATTCCAGTGTCCAATTTGTGTCCTTAAATATGAGCACTAGTTTGCCAACAGATTTGATGTCCAGCTTTTTGTAATAGACTTATTGAAAACTGTGTTAAATTTGGAATGGTCAGGTAGTTAGTCTGATACATCCTAGCCAGAGGTGGGGCTGCCACCTTCACATGGCACCAGGCCTACCTGATTATATTAGCATTACATCTGTAATTGAATCATTCTAGATGACTTTCGTCGCAGAAGTGTAACTCTTATGTTAAATGCAGAGGATATATCAGTGTTATGTTTATGTTTAAATTCAAATTTAGAACTGAATGTCATTTAGAGCTATAACATTAGAATCCCTTTACTGTCAAGTAAAGCCACTGAAGCACCCCAGAACCAACTTAACTCACACACACTCATTAAGTAACACTTGTCTTTTCATTTATAAGCAATAACTGAGTTTGTATTTAGAATATATTATTATTGGTATTTCAGGGGTAGATCAACTTGTGAGAAAATATGTGACACAGATAGGAAATGTAACATGGAACCCCATTACTGGATGAATATTTCGCTTCAGACTGTAGCCACTGTTGCATAATTTGTACATCCCAGGAGATCATAATCTTGATATGAGAAGTTCATACCTTACAGACATGTCACAGTCATTTCCTATCCCAGCCTTTCTGTTTTGGTGTACTTTATCTGCACACATAATGTATTTGTGTGTTTCATACAGTTCTCACAGTGAACAGCGATTGTTTCCGTAAATGGGATTAACTTGGTTTGTCTTTGTAGCAGAGACGTAGTGTGTTTCCTGTGAGACGTGAACTGAATTTTTATATATTGTAACAGATCTGATCAAAGCAATGCCAGGTAACAGCTCAGTAAACACATTCCAATGCACAACAATGGAAACTGTGTCTCAGTGGGCGAATGTTATAGCTCATTGCTAGGCAGCAGTCAGTGTGCCAGTGAGTTGGTAAGTCATGTGACTTGTGTGTTCTGTGTGGTCCATGCTGCTTCAATATAATGAGATTCCCAGAATAACTGGAGCAGTTGAGAGTCAGTTGGCGGTCGGACAGCCATGGGAGTTTTGTAGTTGAAGAAGAATTGGAAGTCAGCTTGAGAAGACTTAATGTGTGTCTTTACATGTGTTATAGTTACAGTAATCTTTAGAGTGTTATAATTATTTGTAGTTACAACTGGTGAATATCCAGTAAATCGATTCACCAATCCAAACCCCGTCTACTAGTCACTGATACATGTGGCAATATTATTTAGAAGGAATTCTTTCTCTAAAGGGTTAGTAATCAGTCTCAGCCTCCCCCATCATCCAGGTTTAGAACACACTGATCTGCTGAGGGTACATGTATATATAATGGGTTCTGCTCGGTACACTGTTAACAGATTTGTTCCTGAGATAAATGAAAGTTCATGTTACCAGAACATGTTTAATAATCCTCTCATATTATTATTCAGCATTAAATAATAGCTTTTGTATTCAGTTAAGTACCATTAAATGGTCCATAAATCAGTCATGACTAGACATGTGTAGGTTGTATGGCATACTGTAGAGATGGAGTGTATGTTGCAGGGTGATGGTTGCATGTTCCGCCATGAACCTTCAGCACTGGGCTGTGAAACAGTATGCTCATTCTGGCAGCAAGGAAAATGCCTGAACCAACATTGCAACTTTCGACATATGCAATTGAGAGTAAGTACAGAGAATCTTTCATGTATTTTAGTTTGTAACATCTGCATGTTACGAGCAATGTGTACATAACTTCTATGAGTTTTCTTTCATTGCCTGAATCCTGTTACGTATTTTTGTGGTAACTGCTGTAGAAGACCTTCACCAAACTTAACAGGCTTGAATTCCTTCTTCGTTTATGTGCAAAAGACATTCATAGTTAGTAGTGATCAGTCAGAATAATAAGTGAAACAGTGCTTGTGCTCAACTATTTCAAGTATTTATTCAGTTAAGCTCAAAAAAGTATTTATGCTGTTTTAATGCAAACTTATGTTTTAATTAATTGTATATTTATGCGGGAGTAAATTCAAATGGGGGGAAGCTACTTTGATTGTTATCAAGAATGAGATAGAGTTCAGTAATAGTTGATTATATATATTAGGAAATATGTTCATAGTATAACAGTTTTTTCTTAATTATCCTGAAAACATGAGATTTATGAAACAGTTTTATTGGGCATGAAATGTCTCTCTCACTTCCATCCTGAAGTTAGAGATAGTATGTACCTCTGAAACATTGGCAACCATAGGATATACTCATATATATTATACCAACTGTCTCAGAAGTATGTAATGAAAATCTACACATACCATTTTTTCTGGCTACATATTTCAACTGCATACAGTCATCATAAGGTGAAGACATAAATAGATTATTGCTAAAAATGTATAGACTGATTCTTTGTTAAAATATAATGCTATATAAAAGTGAAAAAAAAATAGATAAAACAAGTTTGATTGGTTAGATCCAAGCCAGTGATTACATAATGCTTGTTTACAACCTACAACCCTGCAGAATTGGTAACCACTTACAAGACTGCAGCAAAACCCCAATTCAGGGAACCCGCAATATACACTTTTCTGCATTTAAGGAACATATTCAGTGGTGCCAGCCAGAGCTCCATGTGCCTAACCTGTTGTTTTCATCGTTCTAACATTTCTTGATTTAAAGGTTTACCTGCATTTTACGTATGAAACTTTGATGCCTGTGCACATTTCGGATCTCATTTTAGCATTGAGGGGAATTTTTTAGTGTGTTTGAACTCTTGTGCAGCGACCCTTGCATAGTTCAAGGTCATCATTTGCATGGCATTTCATGCAGTGCAGTGTGCACAGATTGCTAATCTGCTGTAGGCAGCGTGGATGTCTTTGCCCTTTTATTTGCCCTCTTTCAGTTGGAAGTGGTTACTTTAGTGATCCATAGCGTTTGCTGTTTTTTCTTTTTTATTGTGTCTGAGTGTTGTAAGTTTTTTGGGGGGCTATTGATTTTGAAGTAATGAAGTGCCATGGCATTGAAAAGAGAGAACGCAACAAGAAATATGAAAGGAAAATTATTCAAGAGGTGGAAGAAAAGTTCAACTGTGTCATGCAATGAAGTTACAAAGTATTTTATGCTGCCTCTGTCATCAGTAAGTAACAATTTTACAGAAAGCTTCAATTGTTGAAGAGAAGAGTTGATGTGGGGAACACTTTGAGAAATGAAAAAAAAAATGTATTGAATGAACAAGTTTCAGTGCCTTATTATTGTTATAACTAAGTTTAACAGCGAATATGGGCTCTGTTTTCCAAATCTTCCCTTTAAGGTATAACAAGCTTGTCCCACAGACAGACTTTCAATCATGGTTTCACTGTACTTGGTGTTGTAACCCATAAGGCTATTGCTATTAAAATGTCAGATCTAATATATGATATTTACTTGTTTGCAGAAAAACCGTAAGATGATTCCATGTTACTGGGAGAACCAGCCTGGTGGTTGTCGGAAACCTCACTGCTCATTTCAACATAAAAATCCCCGAGTACCGCCTACAGTAACTGACATGGAAAAAGCTAAAGAATGTTAGTAACTTTCAGTTGATTACTAGGGGTTAGGTTTGAGTTACATAACACTTAGTTTAGTTATTGACATTGGAACTGCTTAATTGTATATACAAACATAAATGGAGTCTGCATTGTTGATTTACCACTGTAGTTTTAAAATGAGGGCTTTTGTGGATGTGGTAATGAACGTTTTGATTCCGTAAAAGGTTGTGAATTACTTGACTTACTGCATGATTGATGGCTTTTGAAGAATCGCTCATCAGACTTCATGGTTGAGTGGGTAGTGTTCCTGTTTTGTATTTTATACGTTCCTAAGTTGGTGTCTTCAGCCTGGAGATTGACTATCATGACTACATTTTTTGATGGCTATTCTTAGTCATTTGAAGCAAATGTATAAGCAGAGGCGAAAAAATTCAACACATTTTCTGGATTAAGTGGAGAAACACTGTAGATATTCTGTATTTATTTCATGATTTGGCTGATATATTTTATTGTCTTAACAGGTGAAGCGGTAGCAGGAGGCAAACCTCTAGAAAGATCTGACTGGCCTAGGCAAACAGGTATGGTTCATGTGTTTATGAAATGATGTTCAGAACAGAAGCAAATCCTGGTGTAATTTTAATAGGAAGAAATGAGCTTTTTAGTATGAACTAGATAATTATTTATTACTTGTAACATAGCTGTAAATTCAGAATTTTCTTTGGTCAATTATGTAATGGGAGATTTATGTGTGCAAAATAAATTTAAAATGTTGAGTGGGAATAGGAAATTGTAACAGGCAAAATAATCATACAAAAGCTTACATAATGAAGTAAATAAATAACAGCTTAACGTGAAAAAAATGACTGCCTCTGTGGTCTAGTGGTCAGAGTTCCTGGCTACAGATCCAGAACTCCTGGGTTCGATTCCTGGCGATACCAGATTTTGTGAGAAGTAGTGGGTCTGGAACAGGGTCCAATCAGCCTCATAAGGATAATTGAGGAGCTATTTCAAAGAAATAGCGGCTCTGGTCTATGAAACCGAGATTAATGGATGAAGGGATCCGTTGTGCTGATCACATGACACCCTTTGTCCACAAAAGTTGGCACTAACTTCGCCGCCAAACAGTTGTCACTTGGTATAGTTCGCTTGTGGACTACAGGCCACGGAGTTTTTAACATGAAAAGCTATTCTTGCATTATAATTCTGTCTGACCCATGATGCAAAATGGCATGCATTCTGGCAACTCTGTGATTCTATAACTAAACCTTTAAATTTGAAGTAGTCTCCAGCAGAGGGCACTATAATGATGATCTCTAAATTTTCAGGCAACAGCCGTATTGATCCCATAACATTGATTGATTGATTGATAAATACAAATAAACATCACTTTGAACAAATACTTTTAAGATTGTGTCATACAAGTTTTTAAATGTACGATCCAGGTCATGTAAGTAACTATTTAAATGACAGCATTAGGGGTTAAAAGGAATGGCTAAATGAACTGAAACCAAAAATACTTACTTACTTATAGAGCTGAGCCCTTCTTGAGGAGTCTCGAAATCTGCAGCTATTCAAGAATTTCCCAGCATTTTATGGAACCTGAAGGTTCACTACCATGCTCACAAGAGCTCTCCACTGGTCCCTGTCCTAAGCAAGAGCTCTCCACTGGTCCCTGTCCTGAGCCAGACATATCTAATCCATACAGTCCCATCCTATCTCTCTAAGATCCATTTTAATATTGTCCACCCATATACGCCTTGGTCTTTCCAGTTGTCTCTTTCCTCCTGGCTTTCCCACCAATATCCTATATGCATTCCTCTTCTCTCACCATTCGTGCTATGTGCCCTGCCTACCTCATCCTCCTTGACTTGATCATTCCAATTATACTTAGAGAAGAGTATAAGTTACGAAGCTCCTCCTCATGCAGTTTTCTCCAACCTCCTTTCACTTCATTTCTCTTCGGTCCAAATATTCTCCTCAGCACACTGTTCTCAAACACCCTCAGTCTGTGTTTCTCCCTTAATGTCAGAGATCAAGTTCACACCCATGCAGAACCACAGGCAAAATTATAGTTTTGTATATTCTAATTTTTATGTTTTTAGACAGCAGACGAGGAGACAAAATGTTCTGGACTGAATGGTAGCAAGCATTACCCAAGTTCGATCCCCTCTTAATTTCATCCTCAATCAGGTTTTGATTTGTCGTTGTTCCCAAATATCTGAACTGTGCCACATTTTCAAAACACCTGTTTCCTATTATGTCACAATTTTATCCTGCATTTTGGTGACAAGACAGCAACCTATACATAGTTTTCTCTGTGTTTACTTCTAGACCAACCTACTTGCTTGTGTCAATTAAAGTTTGTGTGTTTTTCTTTATGGTGTCTTGTCACCCAGTAGACTCACATCATCGGCATAGACCAACAGCTGATGTGTCCCATTTAATTTCAGTCCCAACTGGTTTTCCTGGACCTTCCTAATGGCATATTCTAAAGCAAAGTTGAAAAGGAGTGGCAATAAAGCATCTCCTTGTCTTAGACCATTCTGGATAGGAAATTTATCAGACAGATGTTTACCTATACTGACTTTACCATATGTTTAATTTAAACACATTTTAATTAGCCTAACTAGTTTCATGGGTATCCCAAACTCTGTCAGAATATTGTACAGTACTTCCCTCCTAACTGAATCATAGCCTTTCCTGAAGTCTACAAATAGCTGATGTACTGTCTCATTGTACTCCCATTTTTTCTCCATTATCTGACTCTCCTTGGCAAAAAATTTGATATTCTCTCTAATAGTTTCCCAAGCTTTATTAACATCCACCTCAGTGGCCAAGTTTTCCAAAGCCTCAAACCTACTTGAGATTTCAACACAATACTGCTCTTTACCCTCTACCTCATTTAATTTCTTGAGATTGAATAAAAAAATAATAAAAATAATAAATAAATTAAGAGTAAGGAGATTCAAAATCCTTGATACAAATGTACTTGAGTGTTGTTTACAAATTTTATGATCATTTCATGTGAGAGATCATGCTATGAAGATAGAGGGGATTGGAGGTATAGCTTCGTGTATTCCTGACAGTACTAGATGGAGGGGAATTGTCAGCTTTGCCCTGGGGAAAGAGCCCCCCCAACTCTGCATTGGGTAGGATGCTGAATGGGTCCCAGACCTTGTCTGAACACAATGAAGAAAGTCTGTCGCTCCTGCCTCGAATCCAAACCCAATTCCTTTGTAATTCAACCCATAGCCTTCTCTATACCAGCTGAACCAGCAGTCCTTCAATGCAGCCACACCAGTAATATCACATGTAGAGGTCACCTGTTTTCATGAAAAATAAGTAGGTCGCAAGATTTTTGTGTTTTCCCAGTCTTGAGTCAGTTTTACTTTGTATCTTATATAAATTTGACTTTCATTTATGTAGATATTGTGGGTCTGTGCTAAATGGCCAGAGCCCTTCACCTTAATTTCCTAAAAAACAAATACTGCAATAAATTGACAGATGAAAATCTTCAGTTAGCTGTGGTGGAATATCCAGTAAGCATGTTACCATATAGTAAGCAACTGAATCATATTTTCTTCACACTTTTCTTTAAATTAAAGTTGTAAATTAATAACATTCTTCTTCATAGGATTAGTTTTTCATGCAAAAGTTATGCGTTTTTAGTAATGTTGCCACAGAATGTGGCTCTTAACCTTTAAGCTTTTTTTTTTAATGCTAGTGGACCAAGTTCGTTGTACTGTGGCCACTTCTGGCCTATTGTACCAGAACCAGATGATAGGTGAGGGTGATTGTGGAGCAGTTGGTGGAATGAATATTGGCAGGGGAAACCAAAGTACTCTGAGAAAACCTGCCCCAACACCACTTTGTCCACCACAAATCCCACTTGACTAGACCTGGGATTGAACCTGGGCTGCCACGGTGGGAAGCCATCTACTAACCGCTTGAGCTATGGCGTGGCTATGAACCTTTAAGCTTAGTCATGGGAAATATTTACTTGAGAACCACTGGACTGAACTTGCTTTTAAGGAGGATACTTTTTTGCAAGAAAATTGTATTTATTGCAGTGAAAGAATGTGTGTTTAGTATTTGATACTGCAAGTTCTAAATTGTGTGATGATTGTCTGCAGTTATGGTTGAGGGGGGACAGTATGAAGAATGTGTAGGGAGCACTGACAGTGATTCAGGACGTGTGGGCCCACGCCGTGTAAGTCAGGGCAGTGAGGCAAGCTATGGCAGTCCACCTGTCGACCCACTTGTCGTCAACTTTGAAGAAGGTATGCGCCTTTACTAGCCACATGCAGCTGGTCACTACGTATATTTGTACGTAGCACAGTTTCACTCCTTTCTGTCAACTGGTAAGAGCCACTGTTTTGGTCTCATCCATGATGCACTTGGTTTGTTGAGCTGCCATTCAGTGTTAATAACCTATTTCACTTGTGAAACTTTTGAAACTTTTAATTATTTTTCAGGGTAATATGTAATAAGTGGATTTGACTGTGTTAAATATTGGAATTCAGGGCCAGAATATGAGGTCTCATGTCAGAGAGCAGTACGACACATTGGTGCTCTAGTAGATGAATTGCTAGAGAAATCATTTAAAACATAGCTTTGCTGGTCTGAGTTGAGACTGTATTCAAGTTTCGCTAGTAGCTCTCCAAATTAGTATTCAAAGTATGGATGATTATCATATGTATTTTCATCAGAGTTTAGAAATCTTACAGCCATGTTCTTTATGTAGAAGTGGAGAGGAACAGCAGTTTTATGTCTCCATCTTTCGTGCTGTTTTCTTATTTCTTTTTTGCGTTGAGTGCAGGGAACATACAACTGGGTATAGACGGAAGCAAAGGTGGCTGTAGAAATGATCTTTTCTAAGTTTATAGTCTGTGATTTTGAAGTTTCAGCAGATTGACATGCCATTTATTAGCAGAAGTGACCTACTTTCATTATTAAGTTAGATCATGTTAAGTGATGGTTTGTTCAAAATACTTCAGTGCATTGTGGTGATTGCTAATTACACAGATATCTTGCCAGCGAAATTGGTACCGTCACCGTAATTATTAGTGCTGTCATTATGAACATTGGTTTTGTTTTGAGTTGAAACATTTTGTATTTTCATGTCTCAATATTTTGTTTGTTTCTTTTATGTTGGTTAGAGCATTTTGAGGTAAGATTCCTTATTTTGTTGTTTTGTTTGTTGTGGTTTTGTGCGTGGCTAGCTTATCGTCTTGCATATTGAGAATGTGAAGCAGAGTGCATTTTTATTTTTTATAACATGAAATATTGACCAATGCAGATTATAGCACCTTGTACTGCTAACTTGTTGAAATGGGAGAAAAGGTTGAAAGTTATTTGCATTAACTTTGATGTAAAATGTGGTTTCTAGGCCAGTGTGTTGGGATAAATGTTGGACATCATAAAATAAATTTGGAGTCATTGTGCTAAAATATTTACAAAGGTTGTGTAGGTATCTTATATTTGGTAAGATCAGTTTTGTTTTTGCCATTCACGTGTAGGTTGAACCACTAGTCTGGTAGACTGTTATTGTTATAGACATCTTTTGATGTTCAAGAACCTTATCCCGAATAACAGCAAAATACTCAGTTTCAGGGTAATGTGACAAACGCCATAATATAAATATACTTAGCTGAAAACAGCAATGTTTCTTCACCCAGTGACTAGCTTTAACCTTTTATTACTCACTGCACTTGTGTGCACTACATGTATCTTGCCTTTGTCGTCATGTGAAGATGCAGTGTAGCTAATAGGACATTTATTTCATTGTGTTTAGTGGTCTTGATGACAAAGATTTCTCATACAAGTTTCTCATAAAGCTTAAATGGAAGTATTTATTTTATTTAAGTATGTTCTAGGAAACATGAATCTCTGCTGAATCTTTACTGAGAGGAGGAAAATGGAAAGAGAAAAGTGAGATAAGAGTATTACAGTACAGATCTGTAACTCGATATTCCTGCTAATATTTGCACTAAATTTCATTGTTTGAGGCATTGTGTACATTTTTTTATGATTTGTAGTAATGATATAGCTGGTATGCACATGAAGCAATTTGTAAATAAAGTATTTGCATTTGTAGCAAAGAAATAAAGGGAATGTTAGATGAATGATCTAGTTTTCTGACATGAATTGTATTCTGGATTACAGATAAATTAGTTTGGTTTTGTGAAAAATTGAGTACTCAGAGATATATATATATATTTACATTTAGTGTCGATTGTCATATAATCTTAATTGTAACCACAGCATGTGTTTACTTAACCGTAACAGTTAAGGACTGCTAGTACATATATTAGTGTTCTTAAAAAATGAGAGTGCTCGTTCAGGGTTGATGCAATATTACATTTGCCTCTGCAGTTAGTTTTTTTTTTATACCTGTAACAATACAGAGCTGTTCTTGCATATTTTTATATGTGCTGTTGCATTCCAGTTACTCTTTTGTTAAAACCTGTTATGTTCAATGTGTACTTGAGTATGCTTAAGTAACCAACTCTGTGACAGCTGTCTCATTTTTATGTAATATGTTAACCCCTTGAAGCCTTTTTTTCTGAGCACTGCTGGACCAGAAAACTGTTTTCAAAAAGACAGACGTCTTGATTCTCAAACCTTGTAAACATCTGGTGCAGGAGGTTATAACAGGATTCTCATTATTTTATGGTAAATGTGTATTTTGTTCAGTTTCTGAAAGCATTCAGGCCTCTGTAGGTGCTACTACATGTTAAGATATTCTTAACTAAGCGATCAGTTTCAACTTGAAATAAAAGTCTCTGTGTGTTATGTACTGTGGCATTATGCCCACGACTTGACATTAGACTCCAAGGGGTTAAGTAGATAGTGGACAACCAACAAAGGTATTTCAAACAAAGTAATGACTTGGTCTTCCAAGGTCTGCCAAACCTCTAACTTATTACAACTGGTTGATAGGGTGACTAACTTATCTGTGTATATATTGTATACATATATGAAACATCCTCTCCCATTGTACTAGCTGCTGTTTATGTGGCCCGAATATTTCGTAATTCTGCTCACACGTGTGTTTGTTGATCTTTAATGAAACTGTGTATTCCTTGGAAGTTATTCTTTTGTGTTGTCATGGTTATATTTTTAAGAAGACTTCTGAAATTACTCTGGTCCAAAAATATGTTAAAAGTGTTTTGCATTCAGCTGGGGTACTTCACGTGAGTTACATTAACAACTATGGATGAGATATTAAAGTGGTAGTTGTTGTGGAACAGTGTTGCCAAAGAAATATGACGAGTGACGACTACTACTACCACTATCACCACTGCTACTGTTGCTGCTGCTGCTTATGCTTCTGCTTGAAGTGGTGGAAGGAAGTGTGTGTCAGTTTGTGTTGTTTTATTTCTGTTCTTATTTGAAGAAAGCAATAACATGCAGAATGCAGAGGTTAGTATTTTTATTTGGAAAAAAAAAAGCACTGACATGCAAAAACTCAGACATGAAGATGAAATAAACCCCCAAGAACTAATAAGTAAACATATAATAGCATAAACTATGGTCGTAACGTGCATATTCATGAAATATCAGTTGCTGTTGATGTAGAATACTCATGTAAGGTGAAGTATAGTGTATGCATTATCTTATTTCCAAATGTTAAAAGTAGTAATTAATATGATACACACACACACACAAAAAAAAAAGAAACTGACATAAAACTAATTATTGGCTGGTACTGGCAAGAAACATGTGTTTGTCATTTCAATAACATGAGGGCCAATGAAAAGGAATATTTCCTGTATCCTGCATATTGTAAATATGCAGGAAGGAAGGCAGCTACATACTTAGGCCTGTTCTTCTTTCATGTCATAAATGAGTACAAATCAAATGAAATTTAAAGTGTATTTACAACAGCATGAGTGATTTGTTTGTATACATTCTGACACTAAAGTTCATAAAAACGTCTTGTTTTGAACTTGGTTTTCTGTTGTATAAACCACCCTTACAGAATCTGTTGTGTTTGTTGGAAGGATTACTGCATCATCATTGAATTTGGAGACCTACTGATCATTTTTGATAATAGTTATCAATGACATGTTGGAACTCTTCCTTTGGAAATGGTGTGTAAAGTAGCTGGCCATGGACTGTGTGCTTATTCTCACTGGAATATAAAGATGAGAAAGTAATATGCTTTTTAATTCCTCCCCTGAAATATTATAAAGTCAGTTTTGCAGGAGATTCATGATTGTGAATATGTTGTTAGAAAGAAAGTTTGGTAAGAAACTAGCAGGTTATACATTTGTGTTTATTTTACAGAAAACACATTCCTGACTCACTAGTTAGTAAATTAATTGCTTATCCCCATGTGAGCTTGTTATGTTTGTTTAATAAGTAATTGACTGTTTAAGAATAAATTTACTGTTTATAAGTTCCAGGAACAATATAATTTGGGATTAAAATTTGTTAACATGCAGACATAGATGTTTAACTGTCTAAGGCAAAGAACATTGATTTGTTTGTGATCCTTACGAAATTGAATTTGTTCATTGTAATTCACTGTATACTTCAGCTGCGTGTTGAAACTATGGACTACGATTAATTTCTGTGATCAGTGGAAAATTGATTTAGAAATTGTACCTTTGTTACCTTGATAAAATAAGACTTCTTCAGACACATAGTTATCAATATGGCAGCTAATAATATTAATTATAAAGGTAACAAAAATAGGTGGTAGGTTGTTTGTTTAAGTGGATTAGTTTACATGCCGTTTGTTAAGTCCTGTGTGTTTAAACTTGGAAAATGTTTAAAATCAGGACACAGAATATTGGAAAGATATTTATTAACTGAATTATAATTTTATTGGTTACTACTGATGTATTTTTAAGGCCATAAGAGGTGGATACATCTTTGGTATATTTTAAAGAGTTAACTATCTTTAAAGACTTCATTTATTTATGTATTCTTTTATATATTATATATCTACATATTATTTTATTTATTTTTGAGTGGAAGGAACATCTGTCTGTAAGATCTCTGCATTGTGCGGAAACTACCATACATTTAAAACGTAATCGACAAATAAACAAATTTATTCACCACAAATGTGTTTATGCGTGCACTCGCTGAGTTGCTGATCTGCAAGAATGCACTCCAAGAATATAGAAATTTGATTTACAATTATTAATTTGTAGGAAAATTGAAAACAGTTTCATATTCATATTCAGAAACAAAAATCAATAAAAAACTGTTTGGTAAAATTTTATTTTAACTACAATTTTGACTAATTGCTTTCTTGTCTCGCGTGTTCTTGCAGAGTCAGATAGTGAAAGTATCCCTACATCAACCCCCATTAAGAAGCGGCAACAGAAGAACTTGCGTGTTAAAACGCTGGAGGAGATCAAACTGGAGCGTGTTCAGGCTGAGTCTGCAGCTTTCTATGCCTACAACAGCACACCTGTGAAACCAGAATCTGACACTACCGTTGCCTCCACTCCTACTTCTAGTTGGGACAGCGAGGGAGACAGTGATCTTCGAGCCAAGATCCTATCCAGGAAATCCCACCGTAACTCAAAAGCTGATGTAGACTTTCGAGTTATGACTCTTGATGAGATAAGAAAAAGGAGACCACATGAAGAGGGCCATTATTCAGCTATGGAAGAAAAGATGAGTGTTGCAATGAATTCAAGCATTGACATTCCTGGTGGTGCTGTTAGTGTGAAGCAGTTTAAAAATGGATTCAAAGTAGAAAATAACAGTGCCACTTCAGAGGATAGGTTTCAAACTAGGCAAAAGAGATTTAAGTCAGATCACAATTTTGAAGAAGATAGAGTTGTTTGTCATGATAAAGGTACAGTTCTGTTTAATAAGAAAGTGGATGCAAAAAATAATGGTGACACTTTAACGGAACCTGTAACAGGTGGACATTTTGTAATTAAAACTCTGGCTCAAATCCGGGCAGAAAAGAATTCTCTAGTGGAAAATACTTCTAGCTGTAGTGTCCCAGAGAGGTCAGTAGGATCTGATTGTTTGCCTCAGGAACTTTCTCAAAAAAATTCAGAGACTGAAGATGGTCTTAGAAGTGTAGGTGACAGCAAGGATTTCCTGGTGTCTGGCTCAAATCCAGATGAAAATGCCTGTTTTCAGCAAACCAACGAAACAAAGTCTGATGGCAAAGGTACACCAAGAAGAAGGCAGTTGCAATTAAAAAGGAATAATATAGATACTGCAGTTCATGCTCCTAAGAGGTCCAAAGTTATTCGACTTACTTCTGATTTATTAAAAGATTCTGAAGTTACTGTTCAAGTGCCTGGAAGTGTCACCAGTAATGTATGTTCAGATCCGTTGAAAACAAATGGCACATTATGTTTGGAGACTGGGGGATCTAGTTGTGTCAGGCTAGGACAGCCAGTTACAAATATTTCAGAAGACAGTTTTAAATCTTGCTCTAAGTCTGTGATGAATTCCTGTGCCTGTGATAAACGTTCAAGCACATTTAATATTGCTGGATCTGATGTAGCCAAAAGCACAGATCTCTCATCAGAAACTACAACAAATCCAGTAACTACCTCAGTACTTCATGGTAAACATCCCGATATGGCTCTTAGTGAATTTGCTGGAAATATAATAGGTGTTACCCACCCCTCAAAATCACCATCAGGTGAAAGATTAGAATCAAAATTGGCATTAGCCACAAAAAGTGTGGACTGTGTGTTAGATGATGTAGGAGAAAATTGTGCCATGAAACCTCTTTCGGTATTGCAAACTCAGCAGGGCAATACAGATATTGATGAACTGTTGCTGGGTGATACCGAGGATAATTGTGTGATTCTGGATGCTGAGGAAGATATATTGCAAGATATAGATGATTTACTAAATGATTAAGTTAATCCATTTCTAATTGTTATGTAAGTCAGGTATGGAAACCAAAAGTCCACAGTTTGTTTCGGAGCAGTTAAGACATGTCAAAACTGTTCAGAAGTTGTGTGATCATAACATGGAAACATATGTGAGAGAGGAATGTGAACTGGTGCAAATGCAGACTGCTGTGTACCGTTAGCAACATTGCTAACTGGGAGTTTTGGAACTATTGTTCTTTTTTTTTCACTTTTTTAACATTTAGGTGTAAATCACACTTATAAATCATCTTTAAAAATGTGTAAACCATAGAATATCATTTATAATATTTCATAACATCTCTTCAGGTACTCAGAAATGTCAGTTATGGCTATCCTGTTCCCTTGACTGAAACATACATTAGGGAATATAATTTACCATGTTGTAGATTAACTAATGTATTGAAATTATTTGTAAATATGTATAGGAAGATGAGAACATTATTTTGTGTAAATAGCACTTTATTGTTTAAATAGTTTATTAAGTAACAATTATATGATGATTTTTTGGACTGTGTATGTTAGAAACACATATGTGATGTGTTATTTGTAATTCACTGCATATTCGAAAATCCATGACAGTTTTATTTTGCACCAAAAATTGTGGCAACTCATTAAATTAAAATCTTATTTCAAGGTTCTGATACAATCGTTCTGTAAATATTAATATGAAGCAGAATACATCTTTTAATTGCAGAAATTGGTGTATTATGAACTAGTGAAGAAGATAATCATTGTTTAGATGGTAAAACTATTGTACCTGGGAAGTATCCATTTATTTATGGAGCACTGTTTTTTGTTAGCAGGATTCATACACACCAATAAATTAAATTATTAAATTCAGAATATTTTTATGTTACCATTTTAAGTACTCTGATGTGCTGAGCTGTTGAAAGCTGGGATGGCTGAGTCAGTAAAATGACTGGCTTAGGCTGGAACGCTGGACTTTGTTTCCTGGTGGAAGAGATTTCCATGTTTGCTACTTTGTGCAGGCAGGCTCTGGAATGCACCCAGCCTACTGTTCAGTGGATATCAGGCTGTTGCAGTGGTAAAGTGGCCAAATGCAAAACTGTTCCCCATACACTTTTCTGGAGTGGTTTGCAGGTACAGGGACAACTTTTCCTAACTTGACTGTTCATGAATGGTAATTTTCAATCATTTCAAACACTGAGTTTGCAGTAACCATGCATGCCAGCACATGGAGATATTTCTTTTGGTTCATTGTTAAAGTAAGTAAAAAAAAGGAAAGCTATCCCTGTACCAGGCTGTGAAGGCCCATAGGGTTGTGAGACTTTGAGGTTCCCACATTATCTAGACAGCTCAAAGATGGCGGTAAGGTTGTCAGCCTTACGCGCTGGCCACGTTTTATTCCCCAGGAAAATTGTTTAATTAATTCCTGGTACTTATTTCTGTTAGAGGCTGAGTCGACCCCAGGGCAATAGTGCGGCTGGAAGGATTAGGTTAATTGAAAAAAATCCAGTGACCTCATCAGGACTTGAACCTGTGACCTTCCGGCTTGTAGCATAGCCCCTCGTTACAGCATAAAGTATAATTTTAGCTACAGAAAATCGTTCCACATACTTGTCAGTAATTATAGGACTCTGTGATTATTTGTAGAGATCTCATAAACACCTCTTGTGTGATCCACTGAGGTGTAAATGAACTCCTGTGTCAAGTCTTTTTTAGGGACTGGGTTTGAATACTAAACTACGGGAACCTTAACTAATTCCCTGGAGCATAGCAGTGGCAGACTGTGTTTTTTAAGTGCTGGCCAAATTGTGACTCGGGGGAAGGTCATGGAGGAGGGAAATGTAACTTACATACTTACTCTTGGAGCTGAGCCCTTCTGGAGGAACCGTAAATTCTGCAGCTATTCAATTTCTCAGCATTTTATGGAGCCTGAAGGTTCATTACCATGTTCACAAGAGCCATCCACTGGTCCCTGTCCTGAGCCAGATCAATCCAATCCATACCACCCCATCCTGTCTCCCTAAGATCCAGTTTAATATTGTCCACCCACCTATGCCTTCGTATTCCCAGTGGTCTCTTTCCTTCTCGCTTTCCCACCAATATCCTATATGCATTCCTTGTCTCCCCCATTCGTGCTACATTCCCTTCCCACCTCATCCTTGACTTGATCTTTCTAATTATACTTGGAGAAGAGTACAAGTTATGAAGCTCTTCATCGTGCAGTTTTCTCCAACCTCCTGTCACTTCCTCTCTCTTCGGTCCAAATATTCTCAACACCCTGCTCTCAAACACCCTCAGTCCATCTTCCTCCCTTAATTTCAGAGACAAAGTTTCACACCCATACAGAACCACAGGCAAAATTATAATTTTGTATATTCTAATTTTTGTTTTTGGACAGCAGATGAGAAGACAGAAGGTTCCCACCGAATGGTAACAACCATTACCCCGGTTCAGCCTCCTCTCAATTTCCTCCTGAATCTTTTTTTGATTTATTGTCATTCCCAAATATCTGAACTGTGCCACATCTGTTTCCTATCTTTATGTCATGATTTTGCCCTGCATTTTGGTGATGAGACAGCAACATATACTTAGTTTTCTCTGTGTTTACTTCTAGACCAACCTCCTTACTTGCGTCAATTAAAGTTTGTGTGTTTTTGGAAGGAAATGTAAACCAAGAAAAAATTAAAGAGTTATGTGTTGTGGGATATGTAGGCAATTGGAATTCAACCGGTGTTTTGGAGGAACATTTCACCTCCATCTTCAGGATTGAAGAACAAGCCAAGCAAGAAACCAATGTGAAGCAGGTAGCAAGTAGCTCTGCTTGCTACCTGTGTTATGCTGGTTTCTTTCTTGGCTTGTTCTTCAGTTCTGAAAATGGAGGCGAAATGTTCAACAGATTAGATGGTGTTGATGTCCCAGAAGATAGAACTCCTCATACCCAGTGCTCTGAGAACCACAGACCCTACATAAAAAATGGTTAGTGACTGCTGAACTTTCATTTTCTTTCTTACCTTGTATTTCAGTTCAAGGTGGCATTCTTTTTCAGTGAAAATATCTGTTGTAGAGTCACAGAAGTTCAGATTGTTTTCCTGAAAATCTTCTTCCCAACTGGCATTAATTATAACCTGTCTTGAGGGCATGCAGTGTATATATGGATCCTCTTCAAAGCAGAGAATGATCACTTGACATATACTCTGGTGTTGGAATGGAATGCTCTGTGAGCTTGCACGCAGATGAAGTGTTATCATACCTCATTTAGGTAATATTATACTTAAGCATCCTGTTGCACTCTACACGATAAATGATACAAACTCCATCCCAAGTGCAAACAATATATATTATATGTCTTTGATCTTGTTCTCTTCCACACTACATGTTTCGGCGTCTATCGGCCATCATCAGGTGTATACTCTTAACGTTGCTGCTACACTGAACCCAGTCTAAAATTTAACATTTAAAAACACATTGTTATTTTCTTCGTATTATCAACATCTACCTCGTTGATATGTGTCTGGTATGTAGATTATATTGCACACGTCAATATCACACACTCTATTCCCCTATCCTGTGTTGCATGACCTGCCCTTCTCATCCTCCTTGATTTGTTCATTACACTAGTAATGTTTAGTGAAGAGTATGAATTATTAAGGTCCTTTCTTGTAATGCAGGTTTCTCACACTACCTCTTCTGTCCAGATATTCTCCTTGTCACCCTGTTCTTAAACACTACAATCTATCTTCTTTTCATAACAGAGGATGTCTTGAAATTTGGCTCAGATCTTTTAGCATAATTTTTTAAATAACACAACCTCTTGCGAAGAATAGTGATGTCTTCCAATAGTATGCAGAAATAAATCATGATTCCACTGGGAAGGGGCCAGAATCTCCAAGAAAAGTGTATCACAATCAAAGATGAAAATCATGCTGATCTATTTGATATGNAGCACAACACTTGCTAGGAATATTGAATGCACGTTCAACTCTCGCATTCCATCCGAAATTGCCCTCAAGTTAAAACGTCACTATTAAAATATTTAAAAGTTTAAAACATTTGAAGTAAAATGTTAGGCTCCTCCTTGTTAATTCATCCCGATGATGGGAGATGTCAGCTTGAGGTTGTATAGGCTTATGGTTGGATGTTTCCTATGCGTTGTGTGTTGTGTACGCAGTACACAACACACAGCACATAGGAAACATCTAACCATGAGCCATACAAACTCAAGCTGACATCTCCCATCTTCGGGATGAATTAACAAGGAGGAGCTTAACATTTTACTTCAAATGTTTTAAATTTTTAAATATTTTAACATTGGCGTTTTAATTTGAGGGCAGTTTCGGATGGAATGTGAGAATTGAACGTGCATTCAACAATCCTAGCAAGTGTTGTGCTTTTACACGTCGACATATTGTAGCAGCGTCCACGCAGCAAATATAACTGTATACATCTTAAACAACGACAGTGTTTTCATGATTGTACTATGTGCCTCTGATGATGGCTTTATTAACCGAAACATGTAAGGCAGAAGTGATAAAGAAGTGACCTACAAATTGTTACACTCGACGGACTTTCTATTGACTTTGTATTTGATATGAAATTAATGTTGTTATTAATTTACCAAAAACAGTGAACCAATTATTCTGCCTTAAAGTTTAGGTATGTCTGTTGCAGCACATTTGGCAACAAATGCCAGATGTTAGCTGAAGAACTGATTTTTCATCATGATCATACACATTCTTATGAGAGCAATTTTTAGCCATCGGAACAGTCATTATATGTTTATATACTATGTATTCATTCAGTTTCTGATTCTGGAGAGTGAATTTCATCTTAGTTTTGATTTTTATGAATAATCGTTGAACAGTAGCAGGTAATCTCCTTTCACCATAGATATTATATTAGCTAATGTGAAAGCGTAGCAAGTGTATTTCTTATAACCATCTTGTGGTCCAAAAGCCACTCTCACCTACCAAAGATGCAAATCACTTCTTTGTTCGGTATCATGGTGTTTAATCATTCCGCTGAATGTGAAGGAAATGCAAGTTTTATGGAAATCAACTAAACTGTGATAGTGTAACCAGTCATGCCTAGAATAAATGCCTGTTTAGGTTATGTTTGTTTTAATTTTGCTTT